CTGTCTCTATTTCTGACCAACAACAGCTTCCCAGGAAAGCAGTGGATGAGGACTGGCAGCTCCCGGGGACCCTGGCAGCCCCTACAAGCTGTGGCTTACGAATATCCGGAGATGGGCATCTAAAAGTCTGACTGTCCACTGAAATCCCCAATTTACAGACAGTTAGGACCTATCAAACAAATAATGAGGGGAGGCAGTAATTTTTGGCTGCATATGCTAGCTTTGAATGAGAGAGGAAAATCACTTCCCCTCTTCCTCCTTCCCAAATGATAGTAATAATAGTAAAAAAAAACAATAGGAAGAGAAGTTTCTCCTTTCTTCACTTTTTGATAAAAATAACCCAGAGGAAATTTAAAAAAACAAAAGAAATAGCAAGGAAAACATTCTTGTCCCATGTTGAGATCAGGCAGGAGGATGCTGCATGCTGCTGAAGCTTCTGACGCTTTACCAAAGCTCCTGCCCCAAGCTGAACCCAGCAGAGCTTCCTGGGCAATGCTGAGCCAGGCAATGATGGAGCAGTATTTGCCTTCCTCACCCCCCATGCCAAGAATATTCCTATCCCTTAAGACATCCCAGCTATGGAGGGGCTGTTGGGCCTCTGGGTGATGCATTTTTCTCCTCACATAACCTCTCCCTTGACAAGCAGAGGGCTCTGCAATTACTCTCTGAGTAGTTTAAAAAATAATAATAAAAAAAAAAAAGATTTGTTTTAATAACTTTCCTGCTTGTGCCTAGCAACAGTGGGCTGCTCCCACAAAGCTCCCACAAAGACATTCCAAGTATGCATTTGGTTTCCAGGAGGGTGGCATCATATAACAGGGGGAGTGCAAAGCGTCCCATGGTTTCACCCCGCTGCACAGTCAAGTGGGAGAGAGCTTCCCACCCTACAGACCAGCCCAGCGATGGGGATTCTGTGTTTGATACACCCCCAGCATCAGTGACATCAGTTTATACGATGGCTGTGCTTTGCTTCAGTCAGGTCTACTTGTTCCACGCTGTCTTGCCCCTGGAGGGGCAGATGTGTGTCATTTTCCTTTCACAGGATGCTGCACAGTCTTATCTAAATATAAACAACCTGGGAATACGTGGGGGATTATTGTCTGGGTGAAAAAAAGTAAAGCAAACAGATCTTAAATGTGTTTTCCCCTGCCATTTCTGGGACAGCAACATATTTGGGATCAGACTCCCAAGTTCCCAAAAAATGTTACTCATCCATCAGCAAAAACATCCCGCGAAGCCTGATGTAGAGTAGCCCAAGCATGCCTGGCTGCCCCTCCCTAAAAACCACTGCAAAGGCCAACATCCATCCCAAGCATTTGAGAAGATGTTGTAGGAGTAATGGAAACAAACTGCCACTAAGATAAATATTACAGCCAGCAGCTGAGCTCGGCGTCATTCCCTTGGGAAATATGAGGAGCAATGGGCAGGCATCTCAGCACATCCCTCAGTGTGCATTCTAGAGCTAACGTTGCCAATTGCCCAGGGTTTGCTGCAGCCTCCCGCAAGGCTGCAAAGCTGTATTTCAGCCTCACAGTCCCAGCTTTTCTCCTGCACTGCAGCGTCCATCAGGGTGAGTCTGGAAAAGCAACAGGAAGGCCAAAGCCAATACCTTGGGCAAGAGCAGTGCTGGGAGAGAAGAGCTGAGCTGACAGCACTAGTGTTGAACAGGGAGCAGCTGATTTGAACCCCAGATCTAAGTCTTGACATGGGCAGAGAAATGCTTCCCAACACCTCTATGTTTTTCTCCACCGCCATCTCCTTGCCAGGAAGCTCAGAGACTTGTCAGGCCCAATGTGCTCTGGTGTTCTACAGCCAAGCAGTGTGCAATTAAATCAAGCCTGGTTCTGCCTCAGCCTCTCCTCACCACGAGTGCTGATGTAAGCGTAGCCAGTACTCAGTTTAACAGCTGATAGAGTCAATTAGCATGGCTAATCACATGAACCATCACTACATTACCAACAGTTAATGACACCTTGTGAAATTCTTGCATAATAACCTTAGAAAGGACAGGTATTCGGCCCTGACAGTACTGCATGGCAATTGCAAAGGTCTTCGGGTATTTATGACCCTTATTTAAAAGAGAATATAATCTAAAATGTATGTTTCCCCCAATTACTCTGCTCCACAGAGTACTAAAAGCAGTACCCTGACTCAGCCTATCACATAAACATCCTGCTGCCCCCGAGCAGCCTGATACTGTCTTCCTCCCAGGATGAGGAGCTGAATAATAAGTGACAATCACAGCTCCTGCTGCAGGAAAACAGGAAGCTGGAGTTGTTCAACCCCTCTAAACACTGTCCTACCTGCTCCACTCCTCAAACGCAACACAAACTTCTCCCCTTTCCTTTCCTGTGGTTTAGCAGCAGCACTGGATGTAAGTTCTGGAAGATACAGATACAGACCTACTTCACCCCTGTCTGGTGGAAGCAAGGCAGAGAAACATCCCAAATCCTCCCCACCAAGAGACACTCATACTTGAAAATGCCAAAAATGGATGCTCTTATACAGTCTATATGGATACTCTAACAGTCTATAACTGTTAAATTATCAGAAGTGTAAAGGAGCTGGTGTTGTCAAAGTACTCCAGCTCAAGGTGGTGAAGTGCTAAACCTTGTCTGGAGCTGCCCCGTGCAATTAGGGCAGTCTCATGAGTGTGCATTGTGACCCGCATTAAGTCTGTTTCCCTCATGGCCAAGTGTAAAAGACTCATCTCACTCCAAGCAATGCTCTGAGAGCAGGGCAGCTTGTTCTCCTATGGCTGCTGCCACATTTCTGCAGTGACTGATCCAACTTCACACTGTTTGCTGCTCTGAGATGAGCAAAATTTGGATGTTGTCTCCAAATTTTCAAACGGTAGCCTTCCAAACAAGAAGCAGGAGAAAAAGGCAGTTTCCAATCTGCTTTTCCTTTATCCCCAAGGTAAAAATATCCCTTGCTGAATACAGCAATATTTGTCATCACCTAGAAAAGCTCACTTTCCCACAAGCAGGCAGTGGGACCTGCCTTCCTCCGCTCACATGTGCGTGCCACGAAGGCCAGCATCAGGAGGAACAGTGCTTTGGGTAGGTCATGGTCACACAAAACAATGCTCTGCAAAATTCTGAAGTGTGGGAGGAATGTGAGAAGGCTCAGGACAAGGATGTTTATTGACACAGAAGAATATCTCCAAAGGGTTTGAGTCCTATGAGAAAAAAACAGTGAGCCCAAGGCAACACAGCTTGAGCAACTGGTTAGGCTAAATCTGGAAATCCTTACTCAGGTGATCATTTTACTTGTTTAAAGTATCAGGAAACCTTTTTCTCACGTTTATAGCAGCAGGAGTTTTCCTAAATAAAGGTTTACAGGTGAAGCTTCAAATAAGTTCCCTAATTCCCTTGTACAGCTGTGTTTCAGAGCAGGATGTGTTTTCCTGTCTGTCTCAAACTCAAGTCTGAGAACAATGCTGCCTTCTACAACATGGGGCAGGAAGCCTTTCAGATTGAGGTCTGTTGGCCACCTCTAAGAGGTCTATGGAAGGTGAGGAAAGTCCACCTCTAAGTTTCAGTCTGAAGTGTCAGCAGACATTTGAGAAAGGTTTCCAGCACCAAAACAAATATCCAAAACAAACAGAAAAGCTTTGGGGACAAAAAATCACTGTACAAAGCATATAAATAGCAAGCCTGAGTTAGAGAGAAAGACAAGAGGCTCCTTTCTTCTCTCTGTCCCATACCTACCTCCACAGCAGTCTCGGCTGTATGCAAGAGGCAGCTCTGCAGCTGCTGGAATAACACAAGATTAATGCTGCTGTGCATGTGGTCTGCTGCTGGTGAGGAAAAAGTCACCAGATGTCTTTTGTGCAGGCCTCTGAATGGTGCTAGGATGCTTACACCCACCCTTGGAGCTAGGAGTGAGCACCAGCTGCAGAATTGCAAGCACCATTTGTGTCCTGTGCTCTTCTTAGGAGATCCATACTAATAAACCTTTATAAGTGCTGCTTGTTCTTCGTGCATTCGGAAAGGCAGGACACTTTATCCAGACAGAGAACATTGCTTTGCTTTTGCCTGGTGACTGCATGCATGACAAGTCTGCTTAAAAATAAACTGCCCTTCTCTCAAGCACTTTCACTCACCAGGGCTGCAGCTGGGGCAGTCCCTACCCAAACGCTGTGGCTTGGTGCAGGAAGACAAGTGCAACTGCCAGCTATTAGCTAAGAGAACATGCCTGGTTCCTTCTGCTCTTCCGTTTCGTAATCTTACTGCAAACCTTGCTGTTCTGTCTACCCATTGCACTAGGAGGAGCACACACAACAGCTGAGTTTAAATGCACCTTTTAAGCTGGGAAGGAAGAAGAAGACTGCCCTTCCTCTCTGGCCCTGCACACTGACTCCCCAGCATCAGGCTATGCTGTGCTTCTGAGTTTTGGGGGACAGCTTGCAGGGACACAAGGCCTGATCTCCTGAGCAAGAGATATGGGGATCCCAGAGCTCCCTCTGTTGGGAAAAACTCAACTCCATTTTCCCAAGGAAAGCAAATGCACCCATGGCACCTCCAGACTGCAGCCCCTTTCCTATTCATCTTCATGGAGTCATAGAACCACTCGAGCTGGAAGGGACTCTTGAAGGCCATCTGCTCCAACTCCCCTGCAATGAACAGACAGCTATGGGCAGGTCAGAGCCCCATCCAGCCTCATCTTGGATGTCATCTTCACAAGTCAGGCTTCCCGGGGAAGGGGAGACACCCCAAACACCATTTCACCAAGCAGCTATACTGACGGTGAATGACGTATCTGTGGCTGTCTCACCCCATCAGGCTCTGCATGGGGATGCCGGCGTGTGGCTCCTTTCTGATGGGGACAGCAGTGATGTGGCACGGGCAGCGTGGCCGACTGCTAGGTATGGTTCAAATGCTGATAAAAAAGCAGATTTATTCTCGTAAATGCAAAGCAGAAGGCAACACTGTGTGTTCCCTGCCCCTTAGCCAAACAGCCACCCAAACAGTACTTTAACCCAGGCTCTGGGCGTGTTTTGCCTTAAATCAACACAGGAAGCTCCTGACACCCGTCCTCCATGTCTGCACCCGCTCGGTGTAGAGGTACAGCTCTGCCATGCGCTTCCTTCTCCGCATCATCATTGTAGCCACCCTGGGCATCACCATCCTTGTGACCTGGAGGCTTCTCTGGACCCCAGGAGGTAATGCTCACAGCGAGGCCGAGCTGCTCCACAGCACAGGAACAGCTCTCACCGTGGGGCCCTGCGTCTTTATGTCCTCAGAGGGGATCTTTATCTCAGGGGTGGGGGAACGAGGTGTCAGGCTCAGGAAGTAACTCAAGAAAGCTGTGCTATGGGGAAATAGGAGGGAACGAGGCTCTGCTTCTCTGGGGAAGCTGGAGGGGGCTGCATGAACTGGATAATGCATCTGCTGCCTGCATAATGCATGCCCCCCTCCAGTCCCTACAAACCCTGGGCAAAGCCATGGCTGTATTTTGCAAGTGTTTTGGGTCTGGGTGCATTGAAGATTACCTCAAGCTAGCTTCCAGCATTGCTGCATTCTTTTCCTGCATTCCTGGAGTCCTTTCTCCATAGTTTTGAGAAGTGCTTATCTTCCCTGCCCGAAAACATCCCCAAACCAGAGGAAAATATTTAACTTCCCAAGGACACAGAGGAAACCATCAAAATAATGTTCCTCTCGGGGCTGCCAAATGCAAGTTTGTGGTACTAAACATACATCACAAGGAACATATTAATCTCTGCCTTGATGTGAGCCTTAAGCCTGGAATGGCCTCATCACATCCACAATAAGAAGATAAAAAGTAAGGAGCATAGCTGAAATTTGACAAATTCAAAGCAACTGTCAACTGTCCTTTTATTTGCTTTCACTCTTCATGTGCTTTTAGCTTTTCATTTGCTTTTTCCTTTTCATCTTCAGGAGAAAGAACTTTACATGCCAAAGTGATGCAGGAAGCTAAGCCATGTGGACTCCTAAATCACTTCTAGCTACAGAGAAAGATCTCTTATTTTGGCATATGTTTAATATCCAGTGTTTAACTCTTAATAGAGCCAAAGGGGCTTATAGGGGGGGTGTGTATTTATATTTGCAAACCAATTCACAACTCCTTCATCTCTCTGAACACTTCTGATTCTACTTCCTCTGCAAGCTCAACTCTGTTGAAAGAGAGGAGTTAAAAACAAAAATATGGATTTAGCAGAGAACAAGATCTGTAGCACAAAGCAACTGTTTTGATCACCACTCAAAATCTGTAGCTTGGGAAAAGCACAATCTGGGCATCCGTGAGCTCTCACAGTCATAGGGAGAGTCACTCAGAGAGCTCAGGAACAGAATCCATCATGCCTTCTGACCCCATGAGATAACAGCACTAACTGGAAGAGAGCCTGCCCACAGCATCTGGGGTGCTGGCTCATGGTCACAGCAAGGCTTCCCTCACCTCCTGTGTTTGTATGGTGTTCCCAGGTGACATGGCCCCCAAGGCGGAGGAGGATTTCACTCTGACACTGGACACCTTCCTCCATGTTCAGCAGCTCAGGAAGAAAAGCCTGAGAGCTTTCTGCAGCCGGTCAGGCAAAGCCACCATGCTCCAGACAAGCCGTGAGGAGAGAGCTCATCTGCTCTCCAGGGTGAAGGTGAGCACCAAGCTGAACTTCCTCTACTGCCAGGTGCCAGCAACAGGGGTGGAGGGATGGCAGCAGCTGCTGGAAGAGCTGGAAGAGAAAGAAAATGGGACGCTCCCAGCACCGCTTCCCTACCCTCAGCAGCACACTCTGCAGACAGAGCTGGGCAGGCTCAACCTGAGCACAATAGAAGCTGTGATAGGGTCCTACACCAAAGTGCTCTTTGTCAGGGATCCTTTCCAGAGGCTGGTCGCTGCTTACCTGCAAAGCATGCACAGAAGCTCTTCCTTTAACAATTTTGTCCAGGAGGCTTTAGACACGGGGATGCAAAATGCCGGCACAGCCTGGAAACCACTCGTCAGCCTGTGCCTGCCCTGCCTCATTCAGTACGACTATGTGCTGATGTTTGGCTTCCTTAGGCAGGAGCTGGGCCACCTGCTGCAGTGCACCAGGCTGAAGGCCAACACCCACCTCCTCGAGCTCACCGATCAACACGTGCTGTGGACTTACAGCTGGCTGTCCAAGAAGCTGCTCAGCGAGCTGTCCCTCCAGCAGAAGCAGCAGCTGGCTCATTTCTTCCGCTGGGACCTTTCTGCTTTCCCATTTTCTCATAGCTTGCTGTCGGACCATCTCAGCACTCCAGAAAGCTTGTAGGAATGCTCCATCTGGAGGGAACATTTCAGAGAGCATTAATTCAAGTGCTGTGAACTAGATGAACTCTTGAAGACCCTTGCTCCATGCTGTGTGATTGTCCATGCCACAGCTCCAACTGAAAGGGAAGATAATTGAGATTGACCATTGCTGGGGACAAGGTGTCAAGGCCCTTTACACTGCTGAGTTGCATTACAAAATGCAGGACCAAGCCCTGGAGAAACACACGGCTTCGGGATGGCACTGGAGCATAGAAAACTGCACATCTACTGTGGTGGATTGAATAGCTTTCAACAAACCCAGCATTTGGGGGCATCCTCATGGGCGCTGAATGCACTCCTATTTGTAGTCTGGGCACTCTCTTCCTTTTGGGCCAAGAGCATTGGCAATGGCTTCTTTGTGACGAGCCTGCTCACACAAATGAAAACTCCTAAAGCAGCACGGCCAGCATCTGCCTACTCTACGCAAACCGGTGAGATGGCACTGTGTCAGACCTCCTAGGGAACTGCTGATGGTGTTCCCAACCCTGCTGTGCTGTGAGAAGGCCAGGCCTGCCCCAAGATTCAATCACACTGCAGGGCAGCCCCGAGCAGCCATTGTCTTCTTCAGACTCAATCACAGTGCTGGTCCATCCTCACCAGCCAACATCCTTTCACCTTTCCACAAATTCCCAGACATATATAATTCCCTTACTTTCAACAAAACTAAGCGTTGCCTTGAAAAGGTAGCAAGGCCATAACATTAAAGCCAGAGACTGAACCTAGGGAGCACCCAGAGCCAACCCATCCCTCAACTTTGCCCTTGTCCTGTCCCTCACCCAAGCGGGTATAAATCACCTCAGGAATAACAATCAGTAACATTTCATTCCTCCCAGGTCCTTTCTCTGATGTCCTCTGGTGTTCAAAAGATGAGAGAAAGACATGAAGGAAATAAGCTGAATGTGTCGAATGAATCAGTCTTTTGTTAGAAACCTTAGCACCTCTAGTTTACATCTTTAATCAGAGAAGACAAGATAGCACATCAACTAAAATTCCATCAAGTTCCCAGCATAGCCCTAGGATTGCTGTAGACAAAGCCAGCCTCTTTAATTTAGGATAAATCAGCTATTGGTCACATTTTAAGATCTCCCTCTGAACCACTGCCATTACATATGTAAGACCTTCATCACAGTGATCTAATGTCAAAATTCCTGCTTATCTTTCTCTTTGTAGTGGTGTGTGCTGAGGGCTCACAGAAGGCTCCAGCCCTCAGTGTCTCTCATACCTTTTTGCATCTCCACTTGAGGACTGTTTGTCCAGGTTCAGTGCTTTTAAGTCCTTTTTGGACTAAGAATAGGTGATAAGGTGATAATTCTCTCCCAAGTTTTGTTTATTTGTTTAAAAAAACCAACAACCCCAATACAATAACCAGGCAATTTCATACTGTCCTGCAGTGAGTGTCTCCCATCTTTGCAGCAATTCCAAACGAAATTTGTAGGATTTTCAGTTACATCTAGGTAACGTTATTTTCCACTTACTCTTCATTTGAATCTACAGCACAGCTATGATCTGGCAGCAATCTTCTCTCCTAGAGGAAACAGAGATTGAGAAATGAAATGTGAAAATTCCATGAATCACAATAGTTGAGCCACCTGAACATGGATTGTTTTCTTCCATTACAGTCCTACTGCCTTGTAGTCCCTCTGCTATAAGCTTATTTTCACAGGGAGAGTTTGCTCCTCAAGCTTTCCTTTCACACGTGCACACAGTATGGCTTACAGAAGGGAACTGTAAACAGGAGAAAAAAAGTTGCAGTAAGCAACTCTTTTTAGCCTTAAGTATAATGAACTCATGCTGTCTATGCAGGCCTGCTATGTAAATACATACATGAGTACATAGCTGCAGAGAACAGCACTGATTGAAGCAGCTGAAGAACACATTGATTTAATACTACAATATTTTAATATTGAACTATTAATATAATATTAGATTAATAATTACTTGATAAATTATTAATTATTATTAAATTATTATATTTAATGATTATGTTTAAAGGCAGAGTAAGACAGCAAAGGAAGCAAAACATGAAAATTCAGATGCAAGATGTTGGTACTTCAGATCTGGGGAAGTAATACCACTGAAAGTGTTAACCATAGTAGTGTCTCTACTGCCAAGGAAAGGCAATGAGAACTTCAGGAGAAGACAGTATGCAGAGGGAGGCTTGCAGAATCTGTTAGAGATAGAGATTTTGACACAGCAAAGTTATTTCAGTTCTCTCTACTGAACAGAGTGGCAGTGTGCAGGCTACTTCTGCTCCTGTTTACAATAAGGAGCAGTACTCATGTTTCTGGGAAAGAACAGAAAAGCGCCCTGAACCCAGAATAAAGCCAGTGTGACAAAACCCAACTACTCTGATTGCATGCACTATTTCTTTTATCACGCATTTACACAAGCATTGAGCAGTTAAAGGCCTGCAGGTCTTGCAGGTATACCCTGGATGAATAAACAGCCTTGTTTTTCGGGCAGTCACAAAGAGCACACACAGAATCCTGTTGGGATGTCTCCAAACGTGGGGATTCTGTACATCTCAGGCTCTCAAGTGTACAAGTTCCCTTTCGGTGAGCAGCACAGAACCTTCACGATGAAGAGCCCAAGGCCTTGGACAAATGCTCTTATCCACATAAACATCCAAACAAGGTTACATTCATTATGCATTTTTGTTCTTTTCTGCACGAGAACAAACAAACAGTGATGACTTCAGAGTTCTCAGTCCTCCATTCCTGGCTAAATCCTTACTTTTCATCTCTAAACCCTTCACCTTTCTGTCGAGTACAGCTTGGCACCTTTGTACAACTCCTGTGTTCACAGTGTGGTGTAACTGTATTTCCTGGTAGATGAAGCCATTTACTCATACAGACAAATGCACGTGCTGTTAAGTACAGGACATGAATTCGTTGATAAAGCAGCTGTGAGGAGCACGTACACACAGTCCTATACGAGGAAGCTCTGTACTCTATGCTCACAGAGACAGATATTCCACTGACTGCTCTGAGGATTCTCCACAAACATTCCTTAACCCACCTCCATGACATCACAGCTTTATTACCCCCTTTTCTCTTTTTCCCACCCCAGATCTTCTGCAGCAATTCATAGGACAAAAGAAATTGCTGTCTCATTGAATGGCTCCATATCTTGAGTCCCAGCCCCAATCTGACAGGCTGAGAAGACAAAGGCTCCCTTTCCCTTCGGCCACTACTAAGAAAACACCTCTTTCAGAAAACGTCATTTTCAAAGAAGTCTCATTTCAGTGATAGCAGAGCTCTGCACCTCGTGTTAAAGTATTAAATCCTGCCGCAGCATCGCTGGAGTTGGATTATACTGACATCTAGAGTTAGCAAAGGAACAGTACTGCGCTGGCTAGGTAAGGACGTGCAGATGCCTGATGAGACATCTCAGTATATCAGACATCCCTGTGTTTATTACCTTTATTTGCAGAACATCTTTGTGATTGTTAGTGCACAAAATACGTAAGTTCTTTGTACTAGTTTCCTCTGGATTCACAATCCTGTGCCTGTTTCACAGTTAACTGTGGGTCAAACTGGTTTTCATAGCCAGCCTAAAATTTCTCACTGGGTACCCAATGAAAATCTGCAAATGCACAAGCTAAAGAGGATTAATGGTTCATTTAGAAAAGCCTGAGAGCAGTGTGATCTCTAACATGGTGAAAATAGTAATATTGCTTCACATACCTGTCCTATATCTGTGGCTGGATTCAGTCTGGTGCCAGAATCCATAACAATGCATGAATGTACTGAGAGACAGAAATAAAGAATAAATCTGCACAGCTGATGAAACTGGCACACTGTGCTTTCATATAAGGAGGAGTAATATATCTGTCCACCACTACCCACACTTGGCCAGTGCTCAACAACTTATGTCAAGCTCAATTGCTCATGCTATCTTTTAAACTGAGTTCACCCCTAATGTAAAACAAAATAACTTTTTTTCCCCTGGAGATTGATTGGAACCAGCACAGACTGGGTCCAAGCTGCCAGGAGCAATGCTCTGTACCTGAGCATAACCCATTAAGGCATAAGGTCAGATTCTAATGAATTGTCTTATTTCTTCTTCCTTTCTAAAAGATTCCAGTGCTATTTTTACTTTATTCTGATACATTGCTGTTCCTTTCTGCTAAGGCAGTGCTGCCATCTCTCACATAAGCAAATCCCATAACTAGGAAATGGACAGAAGGCCACACTGGACCAATGACAGAGCTAGGGACAGGCTGACAGCCAGTGCTCACTCCCTATGAATGTTTTCTTGATCCAAACAGAAGGCCATTTCCCTGCTGACTCCCTCATTGCTGTCACCTGTCAGACAATCCATCTCAACCTCAGAGCAAGCAGCACCGTAACTGAAATAGCAGAATGGCTTCCCTTTGTTAGTTTGAAGCAATAGCCAAGGTCAGGAATTCTAGACAGGAAAAACAAACAAAATCAGATTTCATTCCACAAACAGTCAAAAGAAATACCACCACATCGCAACTTATCAACATCTTAATGCTCTTATGTTTTATCCCCTCCATCAAGCCCATGCAGAAACGAAAAGCATGAAAAGCTATAAATAGAAATCTGATAAAACTGCCCTATATTCCCAAACCCAATTGAAACTATTTCAGTCATTTTTATTTTCCAGTGAATCTCAGGGCTGATGGTGACTATTATGGACTCACTCCTACAAATCCAGTAGCAAATCCTTTGCTTTTTGAATGCAGTTAAATATTTCTTGGAAGTCATGTGTAATGTTTCTAGGTAGGAAAGGACGTGTAGCCCTGAATTAGAGCAACAATGGCACTGGGGCTATAAGTCCTCCCAGAATCTCCCTGGATGCAGTCAATGTAACTGAATAAGAACTGCCTCTGCAGTATGAATACTCACTCATCTATAGAACCCAACCCCATTGCTGACAGGCTAACACAGATCTCACAGGCAATTTTAATCTGGCAAAGTGAATAGGAATTTGAAAACAATTAGACTTCTTTCTGACCAGGACTGAAGCCTATCTACAGAAATATAGGTAACCACTTCAGACTTATTTGGTAAAGTTTGTCATAGGCAGGCCCCAGGATCAGTCATAACTTAGGCTTTGGAGACAAGCCCTTGCAAGCTTTGTCTGTTTCACTTGCTCTCTTGCCTCAAACCTCTGCCAATGAGATGCAGAAAGATATATTTGCATTCAGGGGGTGCCAATGAAAACAGTCTGACAGTGCTCATTTGTCTGCTGACAGAGACAGATTACTTACCTGGTAGTCCCAGGATCCTTTAGGATTGAACTGTTTCATCAGCTCAAGTCTTTTTAAGACGGTCTGACATGCATTCTAAAAACAAATAGAGAAAAGCAATTCTATAAGGCTTGAAAAGACAGCATGTAGTAATAAGAACACTTTAAAATCTCAAAGAATTTTCTGTTTAAGTCAATATTTCCTTTAGGACTTTGGCACATACATAAAGGAACAAAGTTCACTAGCAGATGGCTTGTTGAGTAGGAGAAACGTAAACTGAAAAGAATTTTAAAACAGATTATGCTGATAGAAGAGAGGAATCCCAAATACAGCACAGAAGTTCCCAGACCATTTCACAGAATACCTTAAATCCACTTGTTTATACAGTAACGTTACCAACTAGCTGCAGGTCACCCTAACACGTGTAGCAAGGTGAGCTCCTAACAGTGAACAAAATCCTGGCTGAAATTCAGCCTACTCAATCAAGCTGTGCAGAAAAATAAAACCTGCCAGAAATACTTCAGTTTTTTACTTTTGCTTCAAACCTGAGAATGACCAGGACTAAGTTCTCCTTTTCAATGGAAATGTCATATGCCCTATAAATAGATGCTTTGATAACTCCACCCCATGTCAGAGACAACTGTGCTGATGCCATTGCTACAGAGACATATGCTCTAAGCATGTAACACCTAGAGGTCTTTGGCTCCACAGCAGAGGCCACAAAGCACCTGCGAGTAACTGTGCTTCAAGTGTAAGATCTCGTTAATTACTAAGATAGTCAGCCATTTAAATAGATAATCTGTTCATTCTGAACAATCACAAAGACTCAATTTTATGACTACAGAAAGATTGAATGAGAAAGAAAAAATATTAGAACAAAATATGTCCATTTGTTATCTAACACCCCCTGACAGTTATAGAAGTTGTGAGATCCCTTTGCCTGCAAAGCCCTTTCTAAAGTTGTTTTCCTTCAGCAATAGATAAATACACAGCAAGTTATCATCTTCTTGAGCCCCAGCTTATGATCCAATAGCCTTAATACTTGGTATCAGTACATGGATGGTCATTGCATTGATACCCACACTGACAAATCCAGCTGCTGGGGAGGTATTTGGGATAGCATTCATGATGGTCTAACTGAAATGATAAAATGTGAAATGCTCACCAGTACAAAGCATTACAATTTAACGTAGAATTTGCCAAACAATTAATATTCGGCTTGCTCCCTTGCTCCATCTAGCTGAATCAAAGAATTTTGTGTCAATCTAAAAGTAAAATGGAACCTTCCCTTTTTTTGGAAAACGTGCTCCTTCTTTATGTATAATACACTCCAGTGATCATATTCTCACTTTAATAGGCAAGGCTGCTGTTTTCAAAAATGTAGGGTAATTTCTAAACAAATAAAATAGATTTGGCCCAGGTTCCTACACCTCTTGAGTTTTACAGAAACCAATGCCTGCTGTTGCATGAGGATAGTGTTGCAGCCCTGTGAGTGTATACAAAGAAGGTTTTTGTCTCAGAAGTTGCTTGAGAGGCCTGTGGGAGACTCTAAAGGACTCCCTGCTGCCTACACGTGGTTGCCAGAGGCAACGAAGATAAGGGGAAGGTCCCAGCTCGTGTTCTGCTTCTGAGATAGATGGAAGTGACCCTAAGATGAGGAGCCCTGGCTGCGCAGGAGTAGATAAGGCTGCGCAGTAGTGTTGAATGTGCAAAATGTGTTGTTAGCTTGTGAAAGCAGAGAAAGCCCGGATCATTTATAAGGACTTTGCAAACAAAGGACTACTGCCTTTTTATGCCTTTTGGCCCATTTTCGCCTGAACCCTTTTGTGCCTTTTTTTGTTGTTTGCCTTTTTGCTCAGAACACCCCATCGCTGACTGAGAAGTTGCACTCCCCATCCCTGCTGCCTTCCAGATTCATGCAATGTGAAACTGCAGTGGTCACTATCTCTGCATTCCTGTAATGAACCCTTGCTTTTATTTTCTGTCTTATTTTCTGTTTTCTATTTTCACTATTGCTTTCTTCTCCCCCCCATCCCCAAGCCTAACTAACCAAGAACATATGACAAACTGGTTGGGCGATAATGACTTGCAAAGAGCCTCAAGCTTACTGTGGGCATATATATACATGTACACATATATATATATCATTAATCACCTTCCCTGCAATAACTGGAGCTAGTCTACTTTGCAACAAGCACAGTCACCCAGGCTGCTCATCCAAGGCAGCCCCTGCATACTGTCCCAGGTCCTTGTCACTGCACCAAAATAAAGAAATCCCCTTGGTTTTTATAAACAGCCTTTATACGACTCCTCATGTGAAGTTTGAGCAGTGAGTCTGAACTATGTACATGGAGCTGGCTCCTTGAAAAATCACCCGGCCTGCTTTATAACATTGGTCTTCATGCCAGGGAAGAATCCAGGTAAAGCTGCAAGAATGGAGTGTCCTGCCAAAAATTCATGGCAGGAGAGTCAGCCTGGCCCCCATCTCCTTGCTGTGAGCAACAGCTGCTCTTCTTGTCTTGGTACCCCCTTCAGGAGCTTCCCTTTGAGTCAGAGCTGTAACACCAACCACACCACTCCTATCAAAGGTGATGCAGTGTGAGTCGCCCCTTCTCTAGTTCCTTTTTAAAGTGCTGTTTATTTCAGATGGTCTGGACACTGTGTGTGCACATGGGGATAAGTGTGTGGAGGAGCTAATGGTGAGATCCGTGCATGACTCAGTGAGAGGGGCCCCCCATATTGACTGGGGACACTGGAGGAACATCCAAACCCATAGTGCTGCCCTGTGTTTTGAGGAGGTCTCTCTGCTCCAGCTCTGCCACAGGCTGTGAGGTGTGCATGGAGCCTCGGCAACAGCCTCCACACAAGCTTGTGCATGGAGACGGGGGATGCACTGTGCACTCCAGCATCTCCAGGGCATGCCTATGGAGGCCTCAGGCAGCCACCTCGCTCAGCCCAGAGCTCATTGCCTGTATGACACAGGCAATACATTTTAACTCCTGATTGCACTTCAACTTCCCGTTCCATTTCCAGTTCGGGTTATACTTCCTCTTCTGGTTTAATTTCCACTTCTGGTTCATCTTCTACTTTTGGCTTCATGTTCCACTTATGGTTTTGGATTCATTTTTGCTCCAATCCGCTTTTACTTCTGGTTCCACTTTCAATTCCGGTTTCTCATTTACTTCCACTTCCAATTGTGGTTCCACTTCTGGTTCTGCATTTCCTTCCCTTTTCACTTCCAGTTCCACGATCACTTCCGGTTCTAATTTACTTTGGGTTACATTTCCACTTCTTGTTTCATGTCTGCTTCCATTACATTTGTACTTCCAGTTCCTCTTTTGTTCTGTGTTCACTTCCGATTCAACTTCCGGCTCTGAGGTCACTTCCGGCCAGCCATTCACTCTCGCTCCTTCAGTCAGGGTTTGGTTCCACTTCCAGTCGCACGTTTTCTTTAGGTTCCACATCTCCTTCCAGCTGCAGTTTTACTTCTGGCTCAGTGCCCACTTCCGGTTCACAGTCTGCTTCTGGTTACATTTGTATTTCTGCTTCCACTTCTCAGTTCACCTCCGATTTTGAGTCCATTCCAGTTCCTGTTCCGTGCCAGGCTGAAACATCCCAACCTGACCTGAGCCCTGCCAGGTCAGCCTGAGATGTGCTGTGCTGAGCTGACCTGTGCTAGGTCACAACAAGCTGAGCTGTGCTAAACCAAACTGAGCCCTGCTGGGCCAAGCCGAGTTGTGTGAATCCACGCTGAGCCGTGCCAAAATGCGTCTAACTGTGCCAAGCAGTGCCGAGCCATGCTAAACCACGCTGAGCTGTGCAGCTAAGAGCCATGCCAAACCGTGCCGTGTTATGTCGAGCCAAACCTTGCAGAGCTGTGCTGGGCCATGCCGAATCATGCTAAGTTGTGGCATGCCGAGCTGAACCTTGCTGAGCTGTGCTGAACCATACCTAGCCACGCTGAACGGTGCCAAACGCTGCTGTGCCATGCTGGGCTGAGCCGAGCCGCGCTGTGCCGAACTGCGCCGAAGCAGAACTTTACCGAGCTGTGCCATGCCACCCCATGCCGGGCCAACCTTTCCTATCGAAGCTACCGCAGCTCCAGCCGACCCGACCCGAACCCGCCCCATCCGAGCCGTGCCGGGCGGGGCTGCGAGGCGGATCCTGGCCCCGCCTACGGGGCGACAGCGCCTCCTGCCCGGCCGGTGCCGGCCGCTGCTGCTGCGTCTGCTGCTGGCGGTGTCTCCCTCCCGAAGTACCGGGTAAGGAGTTGCTCCCGGGGCCGCTGGAGCGATGCCGGGATGGGGCGGACAGCGGGGTGCGGGCAGTCGGGGCTGGGCGGTAGCGTCTGTGGCGAAAGCTGAGTTTGGTGTTCGGGAAAGTGCAGCTGGGGGCTCAAGGGCGAGCCGGTGGGTGGGATTCTTGTTTTGGGCGAGTTGAAAAACATTTGGCTCTGTTTTTCCGCCCGTAAGCGTTTGTTGGCGGCGAAGTGGTGCGAAGGGACGCGGCTGGGGGTGCCGGGAGCGCCGAGCCGCCGTCGGGAGCGGCCGCGGAGCTGCGTTTGGGTCGGGCGTTGCGCTGGACGGCGGGGGCTCAATCTTCCTTAGTTTGGGCTCTCGGTTTGTTTTCGAATCGCACGGAAGCGGGATGAATTCCTGGAGGCTCTCTCGCGGTTTCTAGCAGCGCAGCCGGTTGCGCTGAACTCTGCCGGGTTGGGATGTTCTCTCCTCGCCGCGGGGCACTCGGAGCCGCTCGTTGCGGGAGCGAGGCGATGGCTGGGGGATCCTACAGCGGGACCGCTCATCTCCCTGCCGGCTCCGTGGTCCATGTTTGGAGGCCGCGGCTCTCCTACGTCCGTAACAGAGAGAGAAACAAAAGCAGTCGTGCTGGGCTTTGCTCTGATCAGAAGCCGTGTTGGGGCCTGGCTCCGCGCTCGGTTCTGCTTGTCCTCCTTCCTCCCTCCTTCCGCACAAAGTTATTTTCTCTCACTCGGGAAAACAATGGGATGTGTTGTAAGTGTAATGGGGCAGCTTGCTCGCATTGCTACCCGTGTCCAGATCTCTAATTGAGGCAAATGAAGGCCGTGTTTGTGTGTGTGGATGTCACCTCTGACACGGCAGCGCAGCGGGTGGTGCTGGAGGGCACGGCTGCTCTTGTTTCCCATCTTTGCCTCATGGTTCTGATTGGTGTTGAGTGAGAGCTGAAGTATTTTGCTTCAGGGAGTTGGGCTGTTCTCACGTCCATCCCAGAGGAGCTTCTGGAGAGGAATCTGGATGAGGATTCCTATATGACTGAGATAGGAATTGCACGTGGGTTGCTCTGAAAGTAATGCCTCCTATTTATTTCCATGTAAACTACAAAGGCTGCTGGAACACTCTTTGATAGAGCAAATTCTCAGCTACAGAACACTATTTTCCAACATAGTCACTGCCATTAGCTCTGCATTTTTGCCAGTGATAAACAAGAGCCTGCATGCTACACCTGTGCAAATCTGCACCAGTGGAGGTAATTGCTATTGCCACTGCTGAAACACCACCCACAGCCTCACTGTGCTCATGTTCACTGTTGGGTCTCCATAAACTTTCAGCAAGCATCCATGAATGTCAGTGGGTGCCATTTTTTCTGCATGGAGCAATTCAGTTTTTTTGCTCCATCCACACTTGTATGTCAGATGCCACAGTGTCAGATTGTCCCTCTGCTGCCGTCTGGGCCACAGCAATAAATGCAGAGAGATGTGGGAAGGAAGGTTCAACCTCTGCTGCAGTCTCAGCAACGTTCACCTCTGACGCCATGGGCCAATTCAGTAACACAATGGAGTTGTGTTGGTGTGAGTCCCCAAGCCTTGTGACAGGGAGAGGTGCACTGTTTGCAGATGGTGGCTCTGCCAGCAGTGCTGCTGTGTCAGAGGGCTCTGCTGGCTGTGCTGTGCTGCTTTTGAGGAAGGGGGCCAGTGCTGCCTGTAGGCCACCCCAGCATGGCGAGGCTTTAAATAATGATGCAAAACTGTCAGAACATGTCTCCCACCTCTACCCCCAGCGCACAGTATGATATGTAATGTTGGTGGAAAGAGGCCCTGAAATTAGCTTTTCCATTCCATGCCGACTGTGGCATCCTGTCCATGACAACATGCACATGAGCTGAGGGCTGGAGCATGGTGTGCCACACAGGGAGCTCTGCCTAAGCAGGACCAGTCACACGTGTGGTTTTGTTGTCTTTTTGAGGCAGTTTTTGCAATTAGTTGGTATGCAAGTGCTAGGGAAGGGCTGGTAGAATGGATCCAGGCATGGGAAGCTCATTTCCAGCACCTACCAGTGAAGGTTGGTCTGGTTACTCCATGGCAAAGATGGGAATGGTTTGGGGTAGCAGTGCTGAATTGCCATACAACCACTTCCTGAGGAGGGGGAGCAGAGGGCAGTGCAGGGCTCTGCTCCTGGGAACCAAAGGCAGGAAGGAACAGCACAGAGCTGTGCCAGGGCAGGGTCAGAGTGGGCACTGGGAACCTTCTTCACCTTGAGGGTGGTCAGACACTGGAAGGGGCAGCATAGCAAGGCAGCAGGTGCCCTGTGGCTGTCAGTATTCGGGAGGCATTTGGACAACGCCCTCATTGAGTGCTGTAACTTCTGGTTGGCCCTGAGATGGCTGGGCAGTGGGAGGAGATGATCTCTGAAGGTCCCTTCCAGCTGGACTTCTAGTGTATACAGAACAAGATAGGCCATCCCTGTCTGGCTGTGCAGAGAAGTGGGTGTTTTGCTCTGCAGCACTCCAGTGTTTGTCCTCAGCTCTGGGCACTCTCCAGGGACAAAGCATTTGGGCCAGTAAACAGACATGACATTTTAATTACACGGTAGCCTATTACCACATGCTTGCTGCAGTGTTTATATGTTTGCTACCTTATTTTTTTCCCCCAGCACAGACAGTATCCAGCTGTGAGGTTTGCTTTATTCCCATCGCAAGCATAAGCTCTGCTGGAGCTGCAGTGTGCTGATGCCATTGAGAGTGTTAATTTTTTTCACACCTGTGGGTGTGATATCAGCTTCTGTATCCATAAACTGTGCATGACTTGGGATGGAGCGAGCTGCTCCTGCCTCATGCTGAGGATGTGAGAATGCACTGCTGGGGCTGGGAGCAGGGAATTCCACCCTGACAGCTTCTCCCAGCTGTGCCCGTGCCCTGCAGAGCCAGCAATGCAAGCGCCAGTTCCTGTCACGCTTTGAAGTATTGCTGACCCTTACAGCAGCAACTTGTTTTTGAGAAGTTATCGCACGAGTAATGCAGCAGGAGACCCCACGTGTATGTCCAAAACACAAACAAAAGCCAAGAAATTCCTGTTCCCAGTCAGCTTTGCCATTTGCTTGTGTTTGCTGCAGCATAGGTTGAAGATGTTTTTATGTCTTGGAAATGTGGAGCAGAGTTAAATAAAAGTGCAGCTATATGCAGTCTTACAACAGAACTTGAGGCAAATCAGCGTAAATCAACCTGTGCTTTACATAGAAGGTGTTCTTCAAGTTTTTGTTGTCTTTTTTTTTTTTTCTTTTCAGTGTAGTTATGTGATAAACAAGCAGCAATACAAGGAAGATGGCTATAAAGTTCAGAGATAAAATTGCCATATTTTCGTTAGCTGTTACAAGAACGTTTAGGGCATTTTATATATCATATGTGTGTTATTGCTTAATCTGCAGAGAATTTGTACCTCCCCGTGAAGCTATTACACTTTATGGCAAAATGCTTTAAGAACTGTCTGCATATTTGTACAACAAACTCATATGGTGTTATGGGACAGTGCTTACTAGGAGAGTTTTGTGTTATATTTCCAAGTTAGCATGCAAAGAGTGGATGAAGATGTTCCTGGAAATGTAATTTCCATGTGCTGATGTATGGGGGTCATAGTCCATCAGGGCAGTGCAGACACAGCTGGTCGAGGTTGCTGACCTCAGCTGGCTGAGGAACAAGGATGAAACATACCAAAGCCAATGCTTTGAGTTGCCCCTTGCAGCAAGCAAGTTTTATGCTTGCACTGCAGCAGCGGATTGCGGGAGTTGAGCAGTATTTTGGCTGCAAACTTGGTCTGAGATTTTAGAAGCAGTAAAGGACTTGGTAATAGCTACAGCCTGTGAAATCTCACAATATTGGTACAGGGATCCTCTTCCTTATGTCCTTGAGGTAATAAAATGAAGAAATTAAGCTGCAACCTCTGTTAGATGCTGAGAGACTGAGTTCATCTGATAAACAGCAAGAATGATTTTGGACAGAATGGGATGAGCTGAAATGAGTTTCAGCTTTTGGGTTTGCTGGAGTCTAATTTAGGATCAACTGTCATTTCAGCTGGCTGCTTTGTTTGTAATCCTAGTATTCTAAAAAGGGCATTTCCTGTCACATATCTGAATGAGATGCTACACGTGCATGTAATTCAGATGTTATGGGCTGCATAGCATGCATGGTCATAGAGATCAATGGTGTCTCATGTTGTTTTCCTGTAACCTAAAGTGCTTGGGTTATGCTTACATGCATCCCAGGGGAGCTTTTTGGAGCCCAGACGAATCTGTTTTGCGTCCTGACTCTACTGCCTTTTAAAGGAAGAATGCCCTAATTCTTAAGAAGGAATTTGAAGCACTTTTTAGAACTCGAGAGGCAAGATCAACTTATTGTAACAGCATCAGAGAACAAACTGTATAAAGTAGGTAAGCCTGTGAAGGCTGTTTAAGTGCTTGGTGGATGGTGCTGCCTGTGACAGTGGAGAGGGTGCATGTCATCGTATTAGCATGACATCACAAAAATAGCCCTTAAGGACCTGTTTGGATTTTTTTTTCTCCACTCCTTGTGGTTGTTGTGGCGATCAGGGAGCAGTAGCAGTGGAACTGCTATCTATATCTTGGAGTGTGTCCAGAGGAGGAGCACTAAGATGCTCAGAGGGCTGGAGCACCTCTCCTATGAGGAAAGGTTGAGGGAACTGGGCTTGTTTAGCTTGGAGAAGAGAAGGCTCTGGGGAGACCTCATTGTGGCCCTCAGTACTTGAAGGGAGCGTATAAACAGGAGCGGGAATGGCTGTTTACGCGGGTGGCTCGTGACAGGACAAGAGGAAATGGTTTTAAACTGAGACAGGGGAGGTTTAGGTTGGATATTTGGAGGAAATTTTTCACACAGAGGGTGGTGATGCTCTGGAACAGGCAGCCCAAGGAGGCTGTGGATGCCCCATCCCTGGAGGCATTCAAGGCCAGGTTGGATGTGGCTCTGGGCAGCCTGGTCTGGTGGTTGGCGACCCTGCACTTAGCAGGGGGTTGAAACTGGATGAGCATTGTGGTCCTTTTCAACCCAGGCCATTCTGATTCTATTGCAACGTTTGCTTCTTGTGCATGTGTTGGGGTTTTTGTTTGTTTTCTTTTACAGTATTCCTTTTTTTTTTTTTTTTTTTTTTTTTTGTTCTGAAAAAGTAATAAAAGGTGAAAGCTGCAGTCTTTGAGAGGAATGTGAATGATGTCAGTGCAGAGGAGAGCTCCATCTACCCGAGTATTTTCCTCACAGACGTGCAGTGACTGAAGTTAAATCTTTGGCAGGTATGCTCCAAACAACTGTATGAGTGCATTTTCTAACAGGAAGAATCTGCAGTAATCTGCAACATCACATTTTACAAAGTCTGAGTAGCACCAGGAGCTGGGAAAAAGAAATAGCTCAACATCTGGAAATATTACAGGGCACTGAAAAACTTCATTTGTCATGTGAGAAGGAATTAGGTTGCAAAACGCACGGTTTTTTTTCCTGTAAACTGCACTGGTCCTTGCTTATCTTTCCACTTAATCTTGTCTTTTTTGTTCACGCAGCTTTAGTAGTTGGTGGTTTGCCCCCCAGCACATTGCAGTGGGAGGCAAGGCTGGGTTTGGCAGCCTGCTGAGCTCCCCGTCATTTCCGTCAGGCTGTGCCTCTGCATCTCTCCCAGAGCCCGTGCAGCAAGGAGAGCTTGCTGTCAGCTGTGCTCTTCTCTCTCTGGCAGTCGCTTGCTTTTTGTAAATGCCAGATGCAGATGGAGCAAGGCTGAAAGCATTGAAGCTTGCTCTGCGTAGAAACAGTCGTTAATACCGCAGAAGGGACAGAGGAGGGGAGCGTGAAACAGGAGAGAAAGTGACGACCAAACTAGAGAGCAACAAGCTGTGATTTTCCTTCCCCTTGACTTTGATGAAGGGGTGGAGTGGGTGAAGGATACAGTATAGCTGTGTGTCTGAGCTATGAAAGCCATTTGTAACTTGTTTGCTCTTTTACTCCCCCTCTCTATCTGCGGACAGGAGAATGCTTATAAAATAACTGGCATAGCGTAAATATTTTTACTGAACAAAAAAGTCGAGAGGTCAGAAAAATAATGAAGGCCCAGAGTGTCTCCGTGCCAAGCATGTATTTGTTCAGCAGTAGATTGAGTGCTTCGTGTCACAGTTTGATTTCTTCAAGGCTATTAACTAGCCAAGAAATAAGGGAGAGATTTTAAGCAATAATGACTTGTAGCGTAAGATTTAACTTGGCTGAAGTTTGTTGTCTTTAGAAACAGACTATTCTCCAAACGCTACAGATGAGGAATGGCTTTTGTGGTTACATGCTTATACGCACACATCCTTGCCTTGCAGTTGGAAAATAGCCTGTTTGTACATGAAGGAGAATGGCTGTAAGCCATTGTTATCTAAGCGTAATTAACAGAGTAATGCCTGTGCAGGTGGCTTTGTGTAAATGAACTCTGCCTTCCTTGTGCCTTCAGGCAAATGTGAATGCATTCTGACACAATAAGAGTATGTTTCTCAAATGAACAGTGTTTATATAGGCCCTGTGGTGCTTCATCGTAGTGGATTCCTTTGCAGTCATCAGCAATTTATTTCTTACTTCTGCATTAAGTCAGGAGCAGTGGGGAGGAAGAACTTTGGGGATGACGCCTCCTACAATGAGTTTATATTTCAGTGAATTATTTGAAACAGCAAAGGCAAGCATAATTAATAACCAGTAAATACTGGTTACAGTCTTGCTTAGAGGACATCTAGCTGTGCACTTTACCAAAGTTAATGTGTTTGATGAAGTGTGGTTTTATTAATTGATTTGAAGCCTGGTGCTTTTTCCAGGACGCCTGCCAATTCAGTACATAGCATATGTTGTTACTTACTTGGCCTTGACTGGCAGCTGAAGGCTTTTAGTCTGCACTTCAGCAGAGGTATATTGTGTTCCTATCATCATAGAATCACAGAATGGCTCAGGTTGAAGGGACCCCACAGCCCACCCAGCCCCAACCCCTGTTGTGGGCAGGGCTGCCCCCCCACCAGCTCAGGCTACCCATGGCCCATCCAACCTGGCCTTGGGCACCTCCAGGGATGGGGCACCACAGCTCTGGGCAGCAGTGCCAGGGCCTCACCACCTTCTGAGTGTAGAATTTTCCCCAAGGTCTAACCTGAGTTTCCCCTCTTTTAATTTAAAACCATTCCACCTTGTCTTTTCATTACCAGATCATATAGAACATTAGTCTCCTCCTTTTCATAAGCCCCTCTGGATGCAGTGATGTCTCCCTAAAGCATTCTCTTCTTCAGGCAGAACAAGCCCAGCTTTCTCAGCCTTTCTTCATAGGAGAGGTGCTTCAGCCCTCTGAACATCTTTGCGGCCCTCCTCTGGAGCCACTCCAGCAACTCCTCATCTTCATTGTGCTGGGGGCCTCAGGCCTGGACGCTGTGCTGCAGGTGAGGTCTCACAAGGGCTCTCTTATGGCTAGCTCTTTCTTGAGCATTTCTACCTCCCCTCTCTATCTTCACTGTGACACGTGATCTCTAAGGGTGTGAGTCCAGAGGTGCAAGAAGTGAACTGATAACTGCCCAGATCCAGGAGGCAGCTCAGGTATGAGCACGGTGCAGGCTGTGAGCCACGGGTTGGTGCTGAGTTGGCAGCATCCTCTCTGTGGCCTCTCGCCTGCAGATGCTCATATGGGTGCTGTCACCTGTGCCTGTAACACAGTGAGAGTGTCTGCCTTGCAGCGGCTGTTCGTTGCATGAGTTAACTTGGTGGACTGGTTTTACCACGATTGCAGTAATATGTGCGCCTTTTCCATCAGCTCAGTGTAGCACCAGATTTGTTCTTGGAGACAGCTGCACCATTCTGAGTGCACCTCATTTGAAGCAGAGGCACAGTATAGAAAAATCTCTGTCTGTATTATGCAGCTAAGCTGTACGGTAGAAAATATTGTTTTTATATGGTCCTTGACACCCATGGGATATCATACTGTCTATGACAAGAGCAGAAACATGTAATACACAAAATACATTAGATTAGGCAATGATTTTAAACTAAAAGAAGATATGTCTAGATTGGATGAAACGAAGAAGTTCTTCTTTATGAGGGTGGTGATGCACTGCCTGGAGAAGTTGTGCTTGCTCCATCCCTGAAGGTGTTTGAGGCTGGGCCGGATGGGACTTTGGGCAGTCTGATCTAGTGGGAAGTGTTCCTGCCAACAGCAGAGGGTTTGTGACTGGATGGTCTAAAAGGTCCCTTCCAACCCCAACCACTTAATGATTCTATATGGCTTGTAAACTGCACGTGATTTTTAAGCTTTGTGTGGTTTGAGTATTGCAAGGGTTGGGTTTCTTGCATTTTTTTTCTCTCAAGAGAATTGATTTCAGATTATGTCTGTTGTTTCTTCATAGATGGTTTGTCGGTGATATATCTGCGAGTGCTTCAGATTTCTCCTACAAGATGTGTTCCACAAATCCAGCCAACTGGGTTACCTTTGATGATGAGCCACTCTTCCAGTCACCTCAGAAACTGGTTCATAATCAGAGCAGTTGTAAAGCAAATGGACTGAAACTCAATCTCTCTACTGTGCATGAATCTTCAAGTCGATCATCTTCTACAGGTAGCACTCCACTCTCATCTCCTGTAGTCGACTTCTACCTGAGTCCTGGCCCACCCAGTAACTCTCCACTTACTACACCTACCAGAGAATACCCAGGCATCCAGAAGCACGGGATTCATGTCCTTTATCCTATTCCTGAATGGCCACCAAATGCTAACCCTCCATCACCTGGGGTTTGCTCTTCCCTCGCCTTGCAGAAACCCAGCAGCCTTCTTTTGACTAATGATGGTTCAGTTAAGACTTCATTCTCCAAATCAGTAGATGAAGGAAACACTGGTCTGCAAGGAAGCTGTGACAAGTCAGAAGAGTCATCAGCAGCAGGACAGTTCCCATACTTCCAGACCGACTGTGGTTTTTCCAGTCCCTTTTGGAAGGAAGGATGCTCGCTCAGCACATCACCAGCTAACATTAATGTGTACGGGAAGGATAAAGTACTTGATAAAGGCACTTGTCATTCTAAAGAAAAAGAGATTTGCCATGATCAGAAGAGCCTTAACCAGGGCTCCTTCAGCTACATCTGTGAGAGGCTTGAACACCTGCAAACTGATGGCTCTGATGCTGTGGGAGCTCTGCCCGTCTCCGGTTCTCATGAGTGGCACAAAGATCCCCCAGCTGTTCCTCACAGCCTGTTCAGGAGCCGGAAAGCTGATGGATGGCCGTTCATGCTGAGGATTCCTGAAAAGAAGAATATGATGTCATCTCGGCAATGGGGCCCTATTTACCTTAGGGTCCTAGCTGGAGGAATATTACAGATGTACTATGAAAAAGGACTCGAAAAACCTTTCAAAGAATTCCAGCTTCAGCCACACTGTAAGCTATCTGAACCCAAATTAGAGAGCTATAATGTTTCAGGAAAAATTCACACCGTGAAGATTGAGTGTGTATCTTATACAGAGAAAAGAAGGTATCATCCGAAGGTAGAAGTGATCCATGAGCCAGAGGTTGAGCAAATGCTAAAGCTGGGAACCACAGATTATAATGACTTCACTGATTTCCTTGTAACAGTTGAGGAAGAGCTTATGAAGCTTCCTACTACTTCTAAGCAAAGGAGAAATTATGAAGAGCAAGAAATGACTCTGGAAATAGTGGATAACTTTTGGGGAAAAGTCACTAAAGGAGAAGGAAAGCTTGCAGAAAGTGCTGTTATCACACATGTTTATTGTTTGTGTTTTGTGAATGGAGGTACGGACTGCTTTCTAACTCTAAACGACCGGGAACTCCAGAAGAGGGATGAGCGTTACTTTGAGAAGGAGGTGGAGAAGAAATGGATCAATATTCTTGATTGCCATTTCCACAACTGCGTCAAAATGCAGGAATTTGAGCAATTGCGAATTATCAAGTTTACACCCCCTGATGCCTGTAGGCTGGAGCTGATGCGCTTCAGGACGCAGTATCATGGAGAAGACCTTCCATTTTCTCTGAAGGCAATGGTAGTAGTCCAGGGGGCATATGTAGAACTTCAGGCTTTTATAAATATGTCTTCAACTGCTCTGATCTCAACACGGTTGCCCTCTGTGAAATGCTGTGAAAATGTTATGATACACTTTCCAGTACCTGCACAGTGGGTCAAAGCACTTTGGACCATGAACTTGCAAAGGCAGAAGTCCCTAAAAGCAAAAATGAATAGAAGAACGTGCCTTGGATCTTTACATGAGATCGAATCTGATCCTGTAATACAAGTCTCAGTTGGAACGGCAAAATATGAGAGTGCCTACAGGGCTGTTGTGTGGAAGATAGACAGGCTTCCAGATAAAAACTCAAGTAAATAATTTGCTCTATAAATTGATGGGCTTGGGTGCACGTCTTCTCAGGGTTTTTGCATTGCTCTTACACTTGTCTGCGTAATTTTTTTTATTTAAGGGCATTTTCCCAATTCAGTGGAGTCAGTAATTATAAGGTTACAGTAGCATGAAAGTGGATCTCATCATTTTGAGTAAACCTCAAGCCTGGAGTTTGTGGCAATAGCTGCACTGCCAAAGAATGCCTCCCACTTCATTCTGGTTGCTCTCTGATGGTGATACCTCAGTAGATACTTGCAGCAATAAGGACAGCTAGATTTATAGTCATGGACATGGGAATTGTTGATATTTCACTAAGTAAAGTAGTTGGCTCCCTTTAATTGCAAAAAAAGTATAATTTAGAGACACAGGAACATAGAAATATGTGGTTTTAAAATTCCTGTTTTTTGTCATATTGATGACAGAGGAATATATTTTCCTGTGAGGAAAGGTTGAGGGAACTGGGCTTGTTTAGCTTGGAAAAGAGAAGGCTCTGGGGAGACCTCATTGTGGCCCTCAGTACTTGAAGGGAGCGTATAAACAGGAGCGGGAATGGCTGTTTACGCGGGTGGCTCGTGACAGGACAAGAGGAAATGGTTTTAAACTGAGACAGGGGAGGTTTAGGTTGGATATTTGGAGGAAATTTTTCACACAGAGGGTGGTGACGCAATGGAACAGGCTGCCCAAGGAGGCTGTGGATGCCCCATCCCTGGAGGCATTCAAGGCCAGGCTGGATGTAGCTCTGGGCAGCCTGGTCTGGTGGGGGTTTGGAACCGGATGATCATTGTGGTCCTTTTCAACCCAGGCCATTCTATGATATTATGAGATTGCTAGGCTTAAGTACTCATTGTCTAAAGGTATACGAACTCTTGAGGAGTATACTGTTCTGCTTTGAGCTCTGTCGAGTGAAGGCACTTTTCTTGGATAGGTATTTATATGTATTTGAGACTTTGGGAATCTGTAAGATTATTAAAGCAATTACCTCAACTTTGGGAAAAATCTGTACTTTTAAAAATAGGATATATGCAGAGTATTGGGCTAGTCTTGTAATATCCTAACTGTCTGGACTAATTACCTCTTTAAAATGTTCAGAGAAGGTTTAGTCTTTGAAATACCTGGTTTCAGGTATGCTAGTACTAATTTGACATGATCACCTGACAATTAGATGTGTAAGCAGGCAAGACTTCATATTCAAAGCAATTAAAAAAAAAAAAAAAAAGTAAAGGCAAAGATGCTACAATGGATTATTTTTTTTCTCCATTTTAACTAACTGTAAATTATGTTCAGTCTGCTTAGTTGCTTAACTGTGTGATTTTTTTCAATTTACAGTTCTATATTTGAATACTTCTGATTGTTACTATGTGACTGTAATATCTCATCAACAGAAGAACTGAAGCAGGAGCAAATGAAATTAGAGTAGTATCCTCAGTCTGTAGGTGAACTTGATTGCTTTTAGTGCTACAATACCATTCCAAAGCATCCTGCATCAACACGCTGATGTGGTGGCTGTGAGCATGAAGTGTTGCGTGGCTGCTGGCAGACTAGAACTAGTGGTTTTATCTGATGACATTGTGTTGCTGTGCTGGTGCCTTTTGTGTTGTACATGTTTAGGCATTCAGGTCTTCTGAACCTCAAGCAATTTTGCCTTTCCATTTCTACTGATCTAAACAGGGGGAGGGAGGCCACAAATGCTTCAGGGGTCAAATCCAGAAAGGACACTGTGTTAACACCGTCTCACTTCTTCCTCTTCCTTTGCCCTGACCTGTGGCCAATGCCATATGATTTTCCTGATTCCACCACAACGGAATGACTGCTTGGAGAGGAAGTGACCATAGAATCACAGAACATCCTGAGTTGGAAAGGACCCATAAGGATCATCGAGTCCAACCCTTGGCTCTATGCAGCACCAAAAATGGGGTGGGGGATGTTTTCTCAAGTCTTACAGGACTACTTTTTTGTGTCACTTTTAATATTCCTTCAGTATTCCTTTTGATACTCCTTTAGTGTTAGCTTCTGCAAAATCAAGTCAGCAGCTTTAGTCAGGCAGTTTTAAAGAAGATTATGAGTTTTCTTAAGTCTTTAATTCCCTGCAGTTCGTTCACCTTAAGATTAGATGTGCACAATTAAACTCAGATTTCTGGTGTTTGAAAACAAGAACCTTCTTTTTGTGACATCCTACAGCTTTACATTGTTTTTCAGGAGTACTTTAAGCCTTGGACATCTGAATAATTCCTCTGGCTGAGATCTGCAAAATCATCTGTATTCTTGGAATGCTCATGTGTTTGAGAAAACATTTCAGCAGTAGTTCTGCCCAGTCAAATTTTAAAGCTTATTATCAAGTATTCTGTACACAATGAAGATTTTAAAAATAGAACTGTCCCAAGGTGTGCCAAAAAATCTTGAGGCAATCGAACTAATAGAAATATGTAAACATTCCTAATGTGCTTATTGCAGCAAGAAAAAATATGCCGAGGTTTTTGCTTTCAAAAAGCTTTTGTTCAAGGCTTAAAAAAGGTCAGGGCAGGGAGGGGGGAAGGGAGAGGGAAAGATTGCTTGCAGTCATGTTGTAATTCCATTTATAGACATTGAAATGCGTTAGTATTCACTGGGTTCTACTAAATTGCTTCTGTGGAGAACTGCTGGTGAAGTGAACGCTATGTCAGCTCTGAGATACCGCAGATTTTTAAAGCTGCCTGTGCTTATTTATATGTATAAATGGAGAGTTGGGAGCCTGAGTGTTAGCAGAGATTGACAAAAGGTTAAAAAGCCATGGCCTTGGAAAGGTTAATCCAATTAAGTTGCTGCATATTGAGTGAATCTGCTGTTTGTGAAAGCAGGACTTTATATATAGAAATGTAGAACGTTCAGTGATTTCAGCACAGCACTGGGGCTGGTCTTTGCACTGGAGGAGCCATGTACATGTGTTGCCTGGGGAGCCTGGGAGACACTACACTTGCAATTGCTGTGTTTTAATCTCTTGCTATGTAAATTTCTGCCTGTGGCATTTCCTGCAATGCCAATCTTCTTTGGAAACCTTGGTATGGCCTGAATTGTCTGAATTCATGAGCCTTTCTCAGATCAAGGTTGCTTGAATGCTACCCCGGGTGACTGGGTGCTAAGTAGCGTGAGTAAAGGCAGCAAAGTTACATTAATAACAGCCTGTGAAGCACTATCTGAATGCCAGATGACAGCTTGAATCTCATTTCATAGACAGTCGTCTGTTTGTTTTTGTTTGTTATTCTTCAGAGGATTGGAGCAATAGTTTGGAATATTGCTTGGAGATAAGAACCAGATTGGCAGATGTAAAATAGGATTTAGGTCTCTTAGTTCAAAAAACTTGTAACAAGTTGTCTGATCACCTCAGACGCAGGATTTCTGTCCTAAGTTAGCTAGTAAAAGCTCCATTTTTCTCCCTAGATTATCCAGTTACCTTTCCGAAGTGATTTGTTTTCAGCAGGCCAGATGGCCATGTCTCCATGATGCCTGAAAGTACGTGTTTTGCACAGCTAGACAAGCATCTGAATAACATGTTCTCTTAGCTTCCACTGGGCAACTTTACAGGCTTACCCTGTGCCTGCTTGTTTTTGCCATTTTCTCTGTTTCTGGCCAACAACTAGTTTATTTAGCATTACTGTTTCTTTTGCAAAAAGGTTTTGTACACACAGCCTCTCTTTCTTCTAACTCCACTGTTGTACTAGGCTGGGAAACAACAGTTTCATGGAGCAGAGCTGATGAGGACTGGCAAATTGTAGGTGAAAACTGAAGCAATGCTCAGCATCTTCTGAGTGCTGTGCTGGTTGATCGCTTCACGTCCAACAGCTGATGCTCCTATCAGCGCCCACCAGCAGGCAGAGGAACTTGTCTACAAAAGGTGAGTACCTCTGGCGTTGTTGATGTTGTTGCAGTAGGTGTTAGGGGAATTCCTGTGTTTTGGGGGTAAGTAGAAGGGAAAAGTGGATGCTGCTCCAGAGGACTTGGGGCAGAAGCCTTAACCAGATCCCAAAACTGTGATCTTTACTTTTGCAGGCTACAACCTAGCAGAAAGAAAGAGCCCCAGAACCTACCAGCACCGAGATCACATGAAGCGCACTGTGCCTGTCACAGCCTGTGTTACCTGGAATAGAAGCCTAGATGTATTTTTAAGTGCTGTGTGGTATCTGAACCATAACTACGCCTTGTCTAAAAGAGGATCCTCTAGCATTTTCTAGTTCCAAGAGGAACAGCCCATTTATATCTTCATCTGAGATCATGTGGACATCTACCATGAGACGTTTATTCATCCAGAAAAATTTCAAGCAGTGGTTATTTCACAGATTGCCATTCTCAGAAGACAAAGTACTTTTCCAGACAACTCCCATTACTGCTTGTTTCTTCAAAGGCCTCCCTCCCACACCAGGAAGAAACTGATTTCCAAAAAGCCCTAGATGTATACTCTTTTCTTTCCATCATAAATGAACTCCAAAAAAGATGCTGCTGGACAAACGCTTTCTCCTCAGATTGTTATCAACCATAGCCTCAAGAGGCTGAGAGAGAACATGATCTGCCATCTTAGTGTTGCAGCCACTGCTGTTTTGCCTGGGATTCTATGCCTGTGCTGTTGAGCAGCTAGCACATCCCGACTCAGCAGGTCCTTGAAATCATGAGGAGGACAGCTCAGGTAGGTTGCAGTGCCAGATACAAGTTGGCAGCCAGCAATTTAGCTTTGGAATGGACTGCTACTTCTGGTCTCCTTCACTGTTGGTGCTGCTGTCAGAACTACTGCTGGAACAAGAGCAGATTGAAGAATGGAAAGGCTTAGCACAACAGCAGATTGCTTTGTTGTGTCTGGGCAGACTGAAAGAGTGATTATGGACCAAGGGTGTGCTAGCGCAGGAGAAATGTGCTTGGCCACAGGAAGGGATTACCAGCAGAATTCATGGACAAGACCCACATCACAGCGGGAGAGAGACCTGCCTGTCACTGTGTACAAGTCACCTGTCATCTCCTCACTGTTATTTAGTCTTCCTCCAGCTTCCTTCTCAAGGAGCTAGAATACTTGTTTCTGACTGTGTTCCTTCCTTCCTTCATTTCTATAATAAAGTACCTGAAATTACAGTTTTGTCTATTTGCGTAATGTCTTTTTGTCCTGAGACTTTAACCACATGCTGCATGCCCCTGGCATTGCATTTCTTTGCCTAAGACCTTTATGTAAACAGGGTATCAATGTTCTTTAGTGCCATGAAGGACCCAGTCCCATAGTGTACTCATAGGTGTCAGTGATGTCTCACACATGTGAGGAGCACCAAATTTAGCACAAGTCACAATCAGTGTCTCCTACTTAACAACCATAACAACCTTGCCTTATGGCTGCATGGACAACTCTGAGCTTGGGTTGTGCACAAGTGAACTGAGCAATTGCCTGTCACACAAAAAGGAGATGACAACTCTGCTGCTTTTGGTCATGGGCCGCAGTTTTGGGGGCGATCATTGTTTCTTAAGTGTGCAGGGGATGTGAAGCATTGTGCCTTGACTGGGGCTGTAGGTGGATTGAAAAGTCTACAGGGAGGTTTTTCTGCCTGTGCTGCTCCGTTGGGTTTCCCTTCATCAGTGCTGGCTGTTGTGAAGGCCATTGTTGGGCCTTTACATATGGAGTGCTATGTTGATGATTCCCACGGGATGGAGAAAGCTCGGTGTATGTTACTTCTGCCTTCAGTATTTCCTTCATTTGGGTGCAGAATTGATAGCTGGAACAGGTAGAAGAAAGAATGAGACTTTTTTTTGCTTAAACTTTGAGATGCCAGTCAGTATAATGGATAAAGGCCAAATGTACAGTGTGAAGCCCATCTTTTACCAAATACGACCAATCCTTTCTTTGCTTTTCTTGGCCTGAAGCCAAATGGAAGTTGGTTGTTTATTCTGATGCTGGAAAAGAAAGGAAAGGCAGAATTGCTTCTTTATGCCCTGAAGAATTTCACAATGCAGATGTGATAGGGTTATTTTCATTATGTTATACTGCTTTCCTGCCCAATGGTCCTGCTGATCTCAGCTTTCACCCTGGTGTTCCTGTGTACTAGGTGAAAGAAATGGTTTTTTTTTACCATTTCCACTTTACAACAGGACAGTTGCTTCTGCAGTATCTTCGCTGGGGAGAAGTAGAAATGTTCTTTTCCCATAGCAGAAGCAAAACTAGGAAAGGCGTGCAGGCAGCTTGTATCCTGGCAGCCACACCACATCTTGTTTGAGCTGTGCCCTTATCTGCCTACTGTAGACCTCCAGTAATAAATGATGGTATGTAAGATAGCTGTATTTCTTGCAGTCAACATCCCAGTGAAATTCCTACAGCAGAAAGCTCTGGAAAATGCAGTTGTTGGGCACAGGGAGGCATCCCTGTCTTGGCTAAGCTGGGGTCTTCCAGTTTTCATTTTTCTGTGAGATTTAAAGTAAGAAATGTATTTTTGAGTGAAAACAGATTCTTCCCTTGTAGTCTGATTTTAGCAGTCATTTTTACTACTCTCTTCTTAATCAGAAGCTGGGAGGATCTAATAGATTGTATGCAAATTAATTTGTAGAACTACAGTGAAAAGTGTGCTGAAGAGAAAAAAGTGAGTAAGGTGCCTCCATATGTCCAAGCAGCAAAAGTTGATAGGATAATGTACAACAAAATAGCTTTGCATTAATAAAAGATAGAGCTGTGATCTCCTGCTAGCAGATTAACCACGCGTTAGAAACAAAGAAACAGATAATTAACTGATGCTTGTTTTTTTTCTGTTTGTTTGTCTGTTACTTCCTTTCTCAAGGTGCAGATCATCCACACAGCCTGTCCTACAAACTGGAGCTAGGATCAGATCAGGAAATACCTTCTGACTGGTATCCATTCGCCACTGTGCAGTTCGTCATTCACGATACCTGTGCCTCAGGGACAGAAGTGAAGTCACTGGGCGTCGAGAGTGATGTGCAGCCCCAGAAGCACGTGATTCAGAAAGCTTTTTATCATTGCCAGGTATCTTCAGTTCTGCGTTTCCAATTTTTTCCCTTTTCTTCCTTTGCCCTACTCTCTTCATACGGTATTCTAACCTTTCATTTGCTTGAGATAATGGCTTCAAGCAAAGGAATCGTTAAAAAATAATTCAATGTCTGTTTTTCAACATCATCTTTGATCAGAAGTGTAAATGCAGCCTTGTTTTTCCTCAGTGAGCTATTTTTGGGAGCAGTGGTTTTGAAATCTGTTGGTCTGGAAACGTCTTATTTGTGCCATTGCTGCAGATCAGGCTTTCAGTTGTTTGCTAATTCTACCTGCCTTTTGTTTTCTGACTACAGGTTGAAATTGAAAAGAAGTGGATTCGGCTTGATGGAGAAGATCCAGATAAGGCTGGCAACTGCTTGATGCAGTGAAAGAGAACAGCGGGCATCACTGTAGGGTATTTACACAGGAAATTCTATTGTTAGAAACAGTGCAATGACCTACTTTCACATAAAAGAAGTCGCTGAATATATTTTTAAGTGCTTTTGGGTTTGATTCTGCAAATCAGCACTCATTCTATTGGCTTGTGTTCAAGTCATGTTCCTGTCATGGGAAAACTGATGGACAAGGTCTGCTTATAAAGGTTTGCAAGATATGAGCACTTATTTGACTGATCACAATATATTTTTTTCCTGTTGCATATCTATGACTTGGGAACAATCTCATATTCCACATTGCAACCTAACGGCACTACTCAAAGAGTTTGAGTCACTTGGATATATAATACTCAGCAATAAAACCTGTCAGGGCTCTTACATGCAGACCAGCATCTGTGTGGAGTCCAGCAGGACCAATTACATTTTTTTAGTGATGCTTGAAATGCTCCATCCTCCATATTTCTGTTCTCCACAATTTATGTGAGCAGAACAAATTGTAATATTATTCTCTATGAGAGCTTCAACTAATGAGTTAGAACCAGGGTGATTTCACTGGTAAAATGGGAAAGGTTCTCCTGCAGTAATATTCCTCATTTTTCTGTGGCAGTGAGCGTTTCCTTCCCAGCACTTCTGTCTGTGTCAGCATTAGACTTTTTTTTTCCCTCTGCTGCAGCAAGTGAGGGGGCAGATCCTCAGCAAGCATAAATCAGCCCAGTTCCATTTCATTTGATGAAGCTCTGATAATTTACACCAGCAGAGGGCTTTGCTCACAAATTGAAAAATTGGTGACTTGCTACCAATTGCTCCTTTAGGATGCAGGGTCCAGATATTGCTTTGGAAACTGCAGGAGCTTCTGCACTGCTGCTTGAAGGAGCCTCAAGACAGAGAACATGTCTTCCCATATGTGGGAAGTGAGGTTTCATCATGCCACTGGCTGAAGGCCTTTCTGGAGGGAAACAGTGCAGGAATAGACTATTACAAGGGAAGTGAAGCTGTGTTGCTTCACCAAATAGCTACTAACACTTTATTAATGTATTAATGTCCTATCATTGTAATTTAGGAAGAGTTTCTCCACTTCCTTACAGCCATTGTTCCTGCAGGCTGTAATCCCCACTCCAAGAAAAGAAATACAACAAATTGAAAAAATATTCTTAGCATGTTTTTATTTTTTTCCTAAAGTAATCCTTACTTGGAACAGACATGTTTGGAGAACAAAAATACAGTAATGCACAAAGTTTCACTTTATATTTTTCTACAGTTTGTAACTGCTTATGTGACGACTGTAAAAATACAGATAAATGTCATTCTGCCAAAGTAGAAAAATGTGGGATATGCACTGAGGAAGTTACCAGTCGGAGGAAACAGAAGTAATATGAACGTAGTTCACCACGATAAACTTTTCTCCCTGCTTGGAAGCTGAGAATGAGATGGGTAATAGATTCTGTAGTAAGTCCTGGGAGCAGGCTTTTATGGGTATTGCATTGCCAAAGCCGCAAAAAGACTATGATGCTATTTTGTCATCTTTATATTATCCCTTTTTATTGGCAGCCAGCTCTTATGTGGGTCTAGGAGAGGCGCAGCCAGGCTCCACCCCTTCCAGCAGCACAGCTGAATTGCCTTCACCTGTGCTCCCATGGCTGACTCTGATAATCACCTCAGGTGATTATCAGAGGTTCAGGCTGTGATTCAGCAGCCCCATACATTTATCCACATGGCACAATTGTGAATTTCAGTCTAAGGCTTGCCAGACTGTGTTCGCTTTAGCAGCAATGGGATCAGGGACACAGGGAATCCATTCCACAAAGATGGAATGAAAGAAAGTTAGTGTTTCATTCATGGTTTTCACAACAAGTCTAAGGCTGAAAAATTACCCTCTTCAGTCTCAAACAGGTGATTGTATGCCTTACTGTCAGAACACTTGAAAAATACAAGGCAGTTCAATGAAAGAAAGTTTGGGTTGACCTTATTCTCCCCATCAAATTCTAACTCCCCTTTCTATTGCAACAATCTAAAGCAGAAACACTGGCTTCCCTTTTCTAATATTTCTTCTGCGTGCTCTGATACCACTGAATATAACCAGTTGAACAAATATTCTCAGTGTTTAACACTTAATGGCTATCATTTTCTATGAATGCTATAGTAGCTGATGGTAAGTAAACATACTGGTCTTTATTGTTTAGAAATCTGGGCAGTAAATTGTCTGACTGTATTCCAGGGTGGGAATAGTTGCTATAACATGTCGAGGTACTCGGTGTCCAGCTGGCAGAAGGACTTGGAGCTTTAATAGCCCATGAGGTACGCTGGCATGGTGCAAGGAAGCAGGGTTTGTGTGTACGTGTAGCCTGCAGCTAGCACCTGCACTCACTGAAATTCTTCCAACTGTTCTGCTCACTTCAGATGCGTACACTTCACTAAAATTTACTGCAGGGCAGTATTTAGATGTTACCTGTGTTTCCTTCCCAAAAGAGAAGCAGAGCTTGGCATGTTTTGTATTTTAAATGGAAGTCAATGAGAACAGCTATTTTTAAAGCATCTTCTTTATTTACAAAGTATTGCATTTGCTCAAACTGACAAACGTCTTTGCATTAATGTTTCTTATACTAGTTGTGTTACCGTAGATAATACTTGATATAATTTTGGATTCAAAAACACCCATTGAAGTCGATGGAAGTCTTTTAACTGACAAAATGGGATCTGCATCAAAGTCTGTGAGAATAAAGGAGTGGCAAAAAGAAAAAGAAATGAATAGTTGTAATGGGCAGGAAAAGAAAACACTGTGGAATATTCTTGGTGCTGGTCAATAAGCAACCTGCAACGCATGCTTATTCCAACCAGAAGAGAGAACAAAAGAGATGAAAGGAGATGTAACTGGGTGTCAAAGCTGAAGCCTTGCAGTGACAGGGACTGATGCTCTGGCTGCCCCTGGGCAGCAGCTCTTAGAAATGAGGGTGGTGGTGCACTCCATTGAATGTGATGCCAAGCCACGGTCATCCTTGTGCTCTATGTAAATTGCCCAAAACTCTACATCTGAAAATGTGCTTTCACACATTGCTTCTAGTTGCATTTATTTTATTTGACAGACTTCTCAGCTGCAGAACTGGTGTTCACATCTCTATTTCACATGTATTTGTCTTTTTTTTGACTAAACACGGTAACTAACTGCTGCAGTTAGTAATTCTTAGCTGTAATTTTGATAACTCTGAAGCAGAGCTGTTATTCTTAATGGAAAATATAATTTTATTTTTGTCAGTTTAACTGTAAACGGATCAGGCTGATGATCTTGTAATAACGTTTTGTAGATTGCATATTGATTAAAAAAATAAAGTTGTATTTCAAACTTGCTGTTCTTGTCCCCTCACTAAAAATTTATCAAGCTTGTTTTACATTTACTGTAATTAACTGGTTGATCTTGTAGTGGCAAGTACTGCAGTTCATTAGAAAAAGGAATTGCACTGTGTGTATGAGTGGGGGATATCACTCCTAGTGTCAAATGATGCTGGTCACAGGAAGCGGAACTACATATTCCATTAATGATCATATACTGCAGGCTTTTTGCCTCATTCACATAACAATAGTAAGCCAATGAATGTTTTTTTTCCTATCCATTGCTTCTCCAAACTCCCTGGGATGTTTGAATGTAACCTAGTGACAATCATTGAAGACCTTCAGAAATTTCAAAGTCTGTTCTTGAAATGAGCTGCAATTCATAGTGAAGGGTGAAGTCACAGTGGGGAAATACATGAGTAAGGCAGAGATCTGTGGGGCAGCACTTCAAGGAAGTGCCTTGAAGTATAAAATAACCATGCCACTTATCCTGTGCTGCTGTCTCTGTAGCAGGTGAAAGCACGTAAACATTTATTTTTAGGACAGTTTCCTAGCATGCGCTATGTTCAGCTGTTTTATAGCTCTTTCATTAGTAAAACTAATTTAAAAATGACCTGTAATTTTTTAGAAGAATCACCTCTTAGACACAGCACGGTGGAGTTGGGAAGCTTTGGAGCAGGGCTAGAGCTTTCTTGGGGATGCAAGATGGGAGGTTGAGTATTCAGGAAAGGCAAGGCTTATTTCATCCTTAATTAGGATTACTTATGCTGCATGAGTTTCTGGGTGTTTCAGAAGAGCAGAGCTGTATTCTGCTATTTGGTGTATTCAGTCTACCAGGAGTGCCGTTTTTATACAGGTGTTTTACAGGCCAGAGCTCTTATGCTCCTCAATATCTAGAAAATGTATCATTAAATTGAATTCAGAGAAAGCCTTTCCTACAGTTCCTCTGATAAAGTGGTTTGAACCAGGTAAAAAAACGGGAGAGTCACATGAGGAAACAGGAGTGACACATCATAAATGGGAGAGGAACGAATCACAGGTCCCAGCTTTATCTGTCTCACATCTCCAAAAGAATGAAGGAGCTCACAGTAAAACCACACTATTAATAAAACTGGTTATGATACCAGAGCACCATATCTCTAAACCAACAGCTGAAAACAAAGGCAGCGTGTTAGATAATATCTTTAAAATGAAATTAATAGTTCTGCCCACGTCAAGGCTGCTGCATAAGGACTGCCCAGATCCTGCAAGCACTTTCTTCTAAGAACGATTACTTTTACTTGGCAAGAGGAGCGGGATGGTAGCTGTAAAACAATACCTTAAGAACGAGTCGCTGGTGATGTTCCTCAACAGCAGCAATACTGGTTTTTAGCAGCAGAGGGCATTCTCTACCAAGCATCTAAGTTCACTGACAGTGTTTCAAGTGGTAATGCACTGGAAAACCGTATTTTTTAAAATGAATAATAAAGATTCATCATCCGAAATTAAATCTTCCCTAGACGTCACGTATCAAGAGGAGTATAAATAATTACAAATTAAAACCTGTCCAGTAAATGAATGTTTGAGGTGCCCTTAAGCATCGCTATCCCAAATGCTGACAAAACCCTGAAAAATCAGGAGGATCTGAACAGCATACTAATCTTTTTGATAGCCCGGCTTCTAAAACACTTGAGAGCTGTTAAAGAAACTGCAGTGGGGAGGGCTGGACTGGAAGCTGAATTAAGACTGATGAAACATGGATGCTGTTCCCAACTGCTTTATGTGAGGTTGGGCAAAATATCTGGTGCATTTCTTCACTACAGAGTGGGGTTAAATGTTAAGAAAATGCATAAGCATGAAAATCGTGACAGGCTTGCATTTTATGTTGCAGGACACGGATACTATGTTAAGATCAGCAATATCAAAAGAAGCTAATTAGTATTAAGTACTGCTATTATTGGATATTTTTATAGATTTTCTTATTCAAAGAAGATTTAATTTAAGGAATTAATTAACCAGGCTTTTTTTCATGCTTGTCCAGTGGACACACTGATCACAGCACTTGATGAGAAGGTATCTTCTCTAGTAATTTCTAACAGACATTTTTCCAGGTAGTAGCCAGACCTCAGGTGATAGCCATGTGCCTTGATTAGCAGGCAATGCCCATTGCAACCTCTCTGTCTGTCTTGGAAAGTTGTATCCTCACCCTCTATTTTTACTTTCTTCTAAGCAATACCCGTGTGCTATGGGTAGGTGTAGAGTGCTGTTCCTGCATGAAGGGAATTCACACACTGACTTTGGTGGTGGGGCTTTGGCATTTACCAGCAATATAAAGGACAGTATTTACAACACACAGGATATGGCCGCAGTGTCTTGTGCTGCTGAAATTTGTTAGACACATAAAAACACAGAAACACACCGTTAACTTGAAGGGCAGGTGAAGCTCATTTGCCATGCTCTGCAAATGTCCCTGTGGTCGTGTCCAAAGTAACCTGGCCTCTATTCGAGACAGCTGAGAAGTCCTCCAGAACCAATCTCCCCATTCTGCACCTCTTTTTGAAGTCAGATATGCAAACTGTTCCAAGTTCAGGGAACTCTGCAACACCCTGGATAAATGAAAGACCATAGCAAGCGAGAAACTCATTTATAAATGTTTTTCTTTCAGTACGTTTTTCACCTTTACAAAACTGCCGTATGGTAATGCTGGCAGATAGATGGCTATGTATCAGGTTTATCTGTCTCATGAATAAGTTGCAGCCAGCTGCAGGATCACCATCTGCAATCTTCAGGGCCCAGTGAGATCCTAAAGGCTTCTTGCTATTTCTGCTAACACGACAGGGCTAATCAGACAGGAGAATAATGGCTCTCTTGGTATGCGCTGTCCCAGACAGTTTCAAATGAACACTATGCTTTAAAAATACATTCTATTATTCAAATTATTCTATAAGCACAGCAACATGCCTTGCCTTTTTCTAGTGTTGATGCAGGGTGTACAGAACAGCTGAATACGCAATTGTCATTTGATTCAAGATCTAGACAGTATCATTAAACATTTCTGTTACAAAGCAAAATTACTTCAGTAGCAAATAGCACTTGTTCTTTGTCTCGCTTGTAAAAATGCAACTTAGAATATGATTATGGATGTTGCTTCTTTTTTTATGTTGTGGGTGTTAGTCTAGCTTTATAATTAAGGGTCTGTCAGGATTTTCGTTGAAATATTTTCATTCTTCAGATTGTGTAAGCCAGCCTTAAAATCAGTGCTTAAGGGCAAGTGTTCTCTTTACAAATCAGGCAGCACTACATACCTACCTAAATACAGACAAAGGAAAAAAAAAAAAAGACGTTTCTAGGTTCTTAGGATCAGGAGAATAACACCAACATAGGTGTGGATGGAAGGTGTGCAAAGGAAGACCGGAAATATACACTCTGCTACATGCACGATTATAATGAACATTTTTCCAGATGTAACTGCTAAATTGGTAAATCTCTTTATTAACACACAAACAGATTGCAGCAAATGTAAGCAATAATTTGTGCAGTTGTACCAGACTTGCTACTTAACCAAGAGCTTCAGCTTTCTCCCTGTTTATGAGGTAAGAATGACTTCAGAGTTTATTAGAGCAAGATAATATGCTTTTGTAGCCAGCTTTCCTAGATATGCTTTTGCACTACAGAGGCAACCATACTTCTCCAAACTAAGCCTCCTTTCCACCATAAACAAAAGCTGGATTTTCTGACTGCCTTAAGGTTCTGTTAGAGCTCTGGGTCCAAACTGGGCACCTCAGGTGCCACGTACAGTCCAGGTGTTGGTCAGTCTTTGCCCTCTAAAGCTGAAAGAAGAAACTTGGGTTTGGTAACCAGTGCTCAGCTGAAACCCAATGCGTGGCAATGTATGCGCTGCTTCAGGGGTAGGGAGGAAAAGAGAAGCTCAATGGGAGCAGAGGAAAGCATGAGTTCTTTAAAACACTTTCTTCTCCAGTTGATGCTATCACTGATAACAGTTTGTAGCTTTGCCAGCGCACTTTTCATCAGTAGGCAATGGGAGCAATCTTACAATAGCACTGCTTTTTTGCAGGCGAGGAAATGGAGACAAAGAGCAGCAGGATGACCTGCTTTAGGCCACCAAAAAGGCTCAGACAGAAGCTTTAGTTTCTTGGCTGCTTTTGCATTGGCGCCTTAGCTATTGGTCCACACTGCCACGATTACCGTGAGACTGCCAACAGGAGCCAAAAGGCCAGCGAAAATAATAACTGCGGAGCAGCACAGCTTCACAAAACAGTAATTACTCCAGCCAGCCGTTACTGAACATGCTACTCAATTCCTACTTTTGAGGAGCTAATGGCAGTGGCTGGTCACAGTCAGCCCTGGCTTTCCACCTCCCTCGTAGAAAGCAGGTCCCTACGTGCCTCTCGGCTCGGCTCGGCCTCCCCCCATCCCACCATGTCTCCCACGTTCGGGTGGGGCCGGCGGCAAGCAGGCCGCGTCGCCATGGCAACGGCGCCTTTAAAAGCGGAAGGGGCGGTTATGGGAGGCTGCCGCCATGGCGCACGGCAACCCTGTGGTGAGGGGCTGCAGCCTCTCCTTTGAGCGGGGGGATGGGGAGAAGCGGCTGCCCCTGGCCTGGTGGGGCGGGTTTTCGCCAGGGAGCTAGGCAGGGGTGCTCTCTTCGTGGTCACTGCTTTATTTTTGCTGATTTGAAGGCAATGGTTGCACTTTTCAGTTGCTTTATGGAGTTGTTGCCTAGTATACAGTGTAGTAATTAGCAGTCCTTGTCCTAAAGCTGTGCTTAGTGCAAGTTCTGCCTTAACTTCATCTTTCCCCTTGTATCAGTATGCTGTTGAGGTGTAGGGATTGCTGTGATTAGTAAGCCTTACGCTGCCCAAAGCTTGTTAACTTCCATTTTGGTCTGAATGGCTGCGTCTAGAAGCTTGTTATAGCTGGTCTGCTCTCCAAGACAGCAGGGATGAAGCAATAAAACGTTGTGTTACAGCCCTACTGTAGCATAATGATAGCTCAAGAGTTAAAATTACTGTAACTTAGCAACTGTATGGCATCGTGCTGCTGTCTCAGACAACAATCTTGGGTCATACAGGCTTACAGGAACAAATGGGCTTGCGTTTTTGGTAGCCTTTCAGACACATGGCAGAATACTTGTACTGAAGTGCTTGATTCGTGTTGTTCAGTTTGTAACAGTTGTTTACGTGGCCAGGTTAGAATTTATGCTATCACTTCAAATATTACTGTTCATCTTAATTTGAATTTTTTTTTTCTTTTCTTTTGGCATAGCCTAAACTCTACAAGTCCATTATTGACGATGTGATTGAAAGTATTCAGGACCTCTTTGCAGAAGAGGGAGTAGATAAACAGGTTTTGAGAAAGCTGAAGGAGGTTTGTTGGTTTTCCATGTATTAATAAATACTGTATAGTTATCTGTTTCTCTGTCTTCTAAAGTGTGTTGATTTTTGCTCTAGCTTAGATTTATAAATATTCTGTAAATACTGTACTGGGCTTCTGGAAGGCAGAATCTAGTAGTGATTGTAGCCATGTTTATTGTATGAAACTGGTTTACAGCACTGCTAGTTGGCTGAAGGAAGGGATTACTCCACTGTGCAGCCTCACCTTGAGCACTGTGTCAGGGGAGGGCTGGGGGGTTAGGGAAAGGCTCTGCCTCAGAGGGTGGTGGGCATGGAGCAGGTGGTCCAGAGCAGTGAGCATGGCCCTGAGCTGCCAGAGTTCAAGGGGCATTTGGACAGTGCTATGAGACGTAGAGTTTGGGTTGTGGGTGATGTGGAGCCTGAAATTGGACTCAGTGATCCTTTTGTGTAGCTTCTATCTTAGCATGGTCTATGATTCTCTACTTTTGGACAATCTAGAAATACCTGATTTACAAATAAGATAAGTGGCTTTAAAACTGATATCAGTTGACTTTAATATTCTCTTTGCAGCTCTGGGAAACCAAGGTTATGCAGTCTAAAGCAACCGAAGGCCTCTTCAAACACAGCCACCATTCTTCACGCTTAACTCTACATGTTCCACACAATTTTCATCATGTTTTGCAGGCTCCAACAGGTCAGACTCTGCAAATGCAGTTTAAGTATAGCTCAGTGTTTTAAGTATCTTTTGGAAGACCTGAAGATGCTGGAATGGTCTTTGCCATGCTTTTGTGTATATCTAGCATAACACAGGACAGTATGTCTCGCCCTGAAAGCAGAGCTTGAACCGTAAGGGAGAAAAATAAACTTTTGATTAAAGCTGTACAGGTATGTCTAGATGCATTTCATCTGCCATTTATTTCTAACAGGGAAACATGAAGAGAGAATTTTTGTCCTCTTGCCTCTAGTCTAGAAATGTAAAGCTTCAGTTGCAAATTCACCGGATGTGTTAAGACTTTGCATCCCTTATAATGTATGGCACAATGTGTGCTGGGGGTTATGTGACATGCTTGTGCCCTGGAGCTCTTCTGTCAAGCTGGAGTTGAGTCTAGTTCTGAACATCTCAAAATTCAAGCCCTTACTCAAACAGAGTGCAAGTTTTTGGTTTGTCATTTCAGTTGGTTACATTTCATTGTACTAAAAACAGCATTTGCAATGCACAGAAGAATGTGACTTTTACACAGGCTCAGCCAGCAGGACTTAACTCTTCTTGATTAAGGCTTCAGTGGGCCACCTGACTGGTATGGTAATCTCATGGTAGGATGGAATTCTCAGCTGAGGCCTGTGAGAGAGGACCAGGACCTTTCCTGACAAAGAGCAAAGATCATATGTAATTGTTTAATGAAAATGTATCGTAGTGCTTGTGTCCATGGAGGACCTTTCATGGTTCATGGCTTTCATCTGCTTATTTTTTACAGTCTTATTTGAAAGGACTGTTTTTGGAGACAGATACTTTATTTATCCCACGTTATTAAAGGGGAAATAGATTTGGGCTTTTTTTTTGTTATTGGAAGCTTTACATTTAATTAACTTCATTAATCCTATGTTTTGGAAAGGCACAATCAAATCTGTTGAATTCAGGGAACTTTTTTTTGTTGTTGTCTATTTTTTAGTAGGATTTGAATTAGTGTTTTCAAACTAGTTAGGGATGCATAGATTCTTCTGTGCCTGAAGTTTGCAAAAGTTTTCCCTTTGATTTGTCTTTTAAGTCAGTATTAATGCTTTAGTATACCCATCTTACTGTTAGCACCATTGGATATTTGCTGGAGCAGAAAACAACTTATACGTTTTCTTCATGTTGCCAAGGCAGTGCATTTTATGCATGTTGATTGTATTAATAAATAGAAATGGCATACTTAGCTTCTACACTGCAACTTCTTAAGTTCATTGAACAGAAATATCATTCCAAGAAAATCTCCAGGATAAACTTTTATAAAATGCAAGTTTCCCATATCAAGGTATAACCTGATGCTCTGAGTACAGCATAAGCTTGAAGCAATGTAAAAGGAAGTATATCCAGCAGCTTCATCTAGATGTGCTTATTTGTTGATCTAACTGTATGAACTGAAGTTAGATTGCTTTAGTTTTAGGACTTCATGATGTAAGTAACTGAATGTTCAGCTGTTTCTGAGACATTCTGTTTTGTTTTTTTTTTTCTTCCCCTTTTAATAGCTTCTTTAGTTATCCCAACTGGAGGAGGCTTTCAGCATTTCATGGCAACAGACCTGGTATGTAGCTGTAGTGACTTTTCTGTGTTGATTATTCTGAATTCTAAATATTTAAGTTTGTCAGTTGTTAACAGGCTGGTGGGGAGGCAAATTTGAAGCATTTCCCCTGCATAGATGCCTTAGGGCAATTATTTAGGAGCAGAAAAGTTAGCATTTCTAATAACTGTTTTATCTGTGCAATGTGGACTGATAGGCAAGGGAACAGGAATCTTATTGGCAGAGAATCCACAGCTGAAGAAACTCAGTGTGTCATGTCTAGCCCTCTTATTTTTGAGGAAAACCATACAAAAGCTAAGAGTTCCTGGAGGGAGGGCTCAGTTGCTGTCTAAGCAGGGGAAAAAGGATGGAGATGCAGCACTTGGTTCTGCAAGCATTGGAGCCAGAAGTGTGCTGGAAAACATGCTGCACAGATTTAGCCCATGGATTGGTAGTACTGAAAATGTACGTGTGTGCAACAGTTTTCTTATTATTGAGTGTTTAAAGTCAAGTTGGAAGCTGCATTATCTGTGAGGAGCAGAAATGGGACGAAAGTGATGTTTTTGGAGTGATAGGCTCTGACCTCTTGGCACAGCAGAACTTGTTAGGGCAGGGGAGGATGCCCTATCATCATTCAGAGCATGATGAATGTATTGAGTGCCTCCTCCTGAGCCTTCAGCTAATGAGTTTGCCAAGCTGCCAAACAATATTGGGAAGATGTTTGTGTAACATGTGAATTCCCTGATTTAAAATGTGCATTTCCCAAGAACAGCTAGTTTGAAAGGGAACTTTATATCCAACTCTTTGCTTTCCAGGAGAAAAGAGAATGATACCAAGTGTTCTCATAGGCCTAAGTGAGGAGTCTGTACAGCGTGCATAAGCTTTTGTAAAAGAGGCTGAGTGGGAAGGTGTTGTTGTGGATGATGTGCTCACTGAGGGTCTGCAGGTGGCTTGTTAATTTTCAGTATATGATAACTGGAAGAACTTGGGGCAAGCCATTATCTTTGCAGTCAATACTATCTGCCTATATATCAAAAATCTGAAGCAACTCTTCAGTAAAGGTGATTACAAAAAGGCTGTCTTTTTTTTTTTTTTTTTTCCTTTGGGCATGTTAATTGTGACATTTAGGGCCCTATAAGAGAATAAGGTATGAGCTGTTACTTAATAAACTTCTTGCATTTCTTAGGGTGCTTCACAAAAGGGTGCAACTCTTACTCTCCCTTCCAGTGTTGCTTATCCCATACATGTACCAGCTGGACTGACTCTGCAGACAGCATCTGGTAAGATTAAAGAGGAGATGTAACACATCAGAGTGCACTGACTGTATGTGGATATAGATGGTTCTGAGTGCAGTAGATAAAATAAATGTGAAGTTAAAGTATAGGTGGGTAGAGCCAGTTATCCTCCTCTTCCTTTGTAGCTTGTAATTGCTGCATGGAGGAAGTAATTATGTTGATTAGTTGGTGTGTCAGTTGTGTATACTTGTAACATCAGTTAAGATGAGCTGCCAGGTGATGCCATTTTTTTGTTTGCTCGCTTTACAGCTGTGTGCAAACACATGCCTTTGTCAGTCTGGCTCTGTGTTCTGCATGAGGGGCATCCTTTCTGTTTTAAGCTAGTAATGCTGTTTTGGTGTTTCAGAATTGAATTCATTTCTTATTCAAATGAAATCTTAGCACCCATCACCCCTTTTTTTTCTTTTAAATCACTCTCCTTTACTGATGAAGTCATCTGTAGTGCTGTACCAAATCTACTTGTACTGCTTAAGTTGTGATGAGTGGGAAGGTAACTTCATGGGTTGACTTTTTCCTTTAACAGCCATTCCTCGAGCAATAATGCCACTAGATGTCTATTTCAAGTATATGTTAAATTGAGAACTTGGTTCTGGCATCTTAATTTTAACACTGATAATAACAAGGCATTCAGCATTTCGAGTGGTTTTCATACAAGCACATACAATGGGAGGACAGATAAACTAGAAGCTTTTTGTGCCCAGTTTTGTTTTTTTTGTGGGGATACTGGAAGGGCCTTAAAAGAATGAACTATCCCTGTACATAGGGATCAGTTTACTGTGCCATTAAAACTACTGAGTTTCCTTCTATAGGGTACTGTGGAGGCACAACCATAAATACAATAAATGGGTATTAAACATGGTAATCTAGATGGAAGCTTTGATTGAAAAAGCCTCTAAGCTCTTAATTGGGGGTCAAACTGTGCTTGGGGGAGTACTGCTTTGTGTACTTCCTGTTGCTTTCTTTTTATTTATTTTTTTTGCCTGGTGTCTTAGTTTCAGCTGGGACAGAGTTATTTTTCTTCATAGAATCTGGTATGATGCTACGTTTTTGTTTTAGGAGAAAATCAATGTTAACAACACACTGATGTTTCTGGTTGTTGCTGAGCAGTGCTGCCCAGAGCAAGGATGTTTCAGTTTTCTCAGCTTCTCCTATTGCCCTGCCAGGAAGGTGGTTCGAGGGACAAACTGTATGGAGGGGACAGAACCAGGGCAGCTGACCTAAACTGGTCAAAGAGATGTTCTGTGCTATGCAGCATCATGCAGAAGGAATGTTTGGGGAGGGGGAAAAAAAAGGGGAAGTTCATCAGGTGGGCTGCTGCTTGGGCAGTGGCTGCATCTTAATTAGCCGGTGATGAGTGATTGCTTGTGCACCACCTATTTTATATATATAATTATCATAACTATGATCCTTTTCCCCTCTTCCTTTTTATTATCTTATGAAATAGTTTTTATATCAACCCACATGTTCTACTTTCTTCTTTTTTTTTTTTTTTTTGCTTCCTAATTTTTCCTCCATTCCACCAGGAAGGTGGAGATTGAATGAATGATTGTTGTGCTTAGCTACTGCTGGGTTAAACCAAAACACCTGGGCGTTGGCTGTTGTCTCTGTAGTTCAACCTTATGAAGCAGTTCTTCACCCTTCTCTTTGTAGGGCAGCTTTATCAAGTAAATATGCCTGTTATGGTTGCACATGGCCAAGGAGATGCAAGTATTCTGCAGCATCCTCTTCAGCAGATGTTTCAGCCCGTTGGCCAACCTTCAGTTCTGAAAACAAACGTTGCTAGTGTTGCTCCAGTGAGATCTTCTGTCCAGGCAACTGCTGAGACATTGCAAACCCAGAAGACTGAAGTCCAACAAACTGTGGTGTTTCAACCGAGTACCTTGCAGAATAAACACCCAGAGAACTCCACCAACACTGTGCTGTTTCAGCAGCCTGCAGTGAGTCGGCAGGAGATTGCAACTAATGCAGTGTTAAATCAGTGTGCAGAGTTAACAGAAAAATCCCAGTACAGCCGTCTTCATACAGCTGTGTTTACTTCAGGATCCTCTGAAGTGTTTTCTCCTGCTGAATCCTTGGCAAACGACCCAGGCAGTGTGCTGCTGCCAGATGTGGAGGGGCAGTTAGACATGAAGCCTCAGGAATCAGTGCAACAGCAGGTGTCTGATGTCATTGAGCTGATTATCAAGGGCAAAAGTTTAGATGATAATGCTGCTCTGAAAGACCAGGATAGCGAGGCTCCCACAGACAAGGTAGGAGTCTTTATTTCTAAGCTGGTGAAAATGCATCTGTTGTAAATGGTTGTGTGAGGAACAAGCTTTGAACGAGGTGTGATCAGATGCATCTGTAAGCAGCTGAACAATAACAAAAAGTGTAATTTTTAAGTTTGCTATTGAGCCTGTTTTGAACAGAGTAGCTGACTGCTTATTTTTACATTTAGAACTTTGGTTACCACTGCTGAAAAAAACTGGATTGAATAGAATATTAGTTTGAAAGACTGAAGTGTGTTAGTTGTAGTGCATTCATAGATTTATAGACTATTTTTGAGATTTTTCTGGCCTCAGAACAGATGTGAATGATGGTTTTAGAACTACAGTGTCTTTGTGATGCTGAATCTGCTTGTGCAGAGTGGCCAGTTGTGGTCAAATTGCGTTTGGAATGTCAGAGTTTAGTTTTAAGTCATAGTGTATGAAGGGCAATTAACTTACTTTGAGAGTCCATACTGAGTATAAGAAGTCAGATTTCTGAAGTGAGAATCTGCAGGAAGGAAATGTATTTTCATGGGGGAAAAATCCTGACAAGCTAGAATCCAGCTAGAGCTGTGTTGGAAAACTTAAATGATTTTATTTCACAAGCCTCTGTCTTGACTTCATTACTCCTTGTTCCAGCAATCATTTGCAAATATTGCAAGTTCAGGCTGGCGTGCTGACTTTGAGTTGTACTGTTTATATGAGATTGAGGCAAATTTATTAAATACAAATTGAATGGCAGTAACAAAAAATGTCAGTAAACAGAAAGCATCTTACTTTGCTCATCTACACTTGGGCAAGATGGTGAAGACTGGAGGAAGAACTGAAGGTCAACATGTAGTCTTACTTTCTTGATTTAGAAACTGTATGGACGTCAACTTAGTGCTACAGTAAAAATTGAATGTGAAACCAAAGATCACTGAAACTTTAAAACCTTTTTACACTCCTGTGAGTTCCCTGTTCAGAAATTCTAATGCTTTTATGTGCAGTAACTTGGAGAACTGAAGTATTTACTCTCTCATCTTTTTATATCTTATTTAAAAATGCATTTTGAAATGAGGGAAAGGGATGAATACATCTTGGCTTTTTTTTAATAAGAAATACTCTAAGTTATTGGAATTTTCTTTGCGATAGAAATTCTAGAGGCTAGCATGAATATCTTTTTTTTTTCTGAAGAAGTTGTTTAAGTTGTTTGACTACAGTAGTGTTAAAGAAAAGTCTAAGAAAATGTATTTCTATGTTACTAAGGGAATATTTGACACTGATTCCATTTGAGGTAGATGTAAGAACAAGGTTTTTCAAACATACTTGGGGTTTACAAGTAGGCTGGGACTTGAAGCTCCCACTTAAAGCAACAAGATTTAGGGCACTTATTAAACAAAAATCTTAGGCTTTATATTGAACAATGAAAGCTGTGGTGCTAATTCACAGGCTGTCTCTGGTCTTTTTTTTTATTCTTTTCAGATGGAACCTACTGAGCAGGTGGAATCTGATTTGCAGTCAGAGAGGGCTATCTGCAGTGACACTGAAGGCATAATTCAGCTAGATGGAACTTGTGATGGTTCTCCCAAGAAAGAAGTACTACATACAAAAGATACAGAAGAGAATGAGTTCATTGACATTATTGAATCAGAGGATCTGAAGATTCTGGAGGGTGAAGAAGATGAAGAAGCTGACAGTATTTCAAACTCTGAGTCTAGTAGCAGCTGTGACAATGAAGAGCCCCAAACAGACATTGTTGAGGAGGTAATTTACTTTTAAGCCCTCTGAAGGATGTTACGATAAAGTAGGTCCAGTAACTCAGTGTTTGAGGTGGATACAACAGCTCCTGTGGAGTATAGTGCAGAGAGTGCATAGTGAGGGGCTTCTTCTCTAGAGGAGGTGCTGCTGAGGAATTACTAGAGAGCTTGTTAGGAGGGTAGCGAACAAGTGAAAGGTGTTGAGAAGTCATATGTTTACTGGATCAGTTAAAATACTTGATTAGCAGAATTAAAACTCTCTGGTGAAAGCCTGCCCTCACTGGAATTGACTTCTTTCAGTTTTAAGTAAGATTAGGAAAGTAATACAGTTTTATTTCTCCTGGAGAGCTGCAGAGAATTGGATAGAGGACAGTGATACAAGTGCATTTGTTTCCCAGGAGAAGATGCTGTTGTGTGTATGTGTTCTTGAGATTCACAAGAGCATTAACTTGCAGAATCTGAACTAAAATATATCATAGAATCTTGGAATCCTTTGTGTTGGAAGGGACATCTGAGGCCAATCTAGTCCAACTCCTGCAACGAATAGGGACACCACAGTTAGGTCAGTTGCCCAGGGCCTGATCCAGCCTCACCTTGAATGTCTCCAGGAATGGGGCATCAACCACAATGCTGGGCAGTATGCATCATTTGATGAGTATACCAGTTACCAGGTGCAGCTTTGGCTGTAGCAGCTCTGCTTTGTTTTACTTTGTTTTGCCATGTGTTGTTTTTTGTTGTTGTTCAGGGGAAGGATGCTTTAGTTTTTGAGAACATAGACGTGAAGATGCTTGTAAGTGAGCTTTGTACAGCATCATTTTTCATAGCTTCTAAGTCTTTCTTTGAGTGTTAAACTTCATTGTTCTTGTTGTGTCTAATGTCAAGAATATTCAATGCTAACTTGTAAAAATAGATAAAATACTACTTAAATGCAGTCTTATTCTCTAGGACCCATTAAATTCTGCTGATGATGTCAGTGACCTGGACATTGCGGACTTGTTTGACACCAACAATGTGATAGTTTGTCAGTATGAGAAGGTACGATATGTAGTTCTATCTTTGTCCCTTACCTGCCTTAAATATCTTCATATCTGGCCTGCTTTTGGTGCCTTTTAAAGAAAAACTAATGTAGTAGATGGATTAGCTGACAGTAGTCTGAAGATTTGTGTGCTGTTTTCTGAAACAAGGACGATCAAATTGTTCATAAGGGCCTACTGGGGAAAGAGAAGAAGGTCGAATGTTTCAAAATTAAGACTTGTAAACCTGCTAAAGCTTATGTGCTTCCTTAACTTCTAAGTAACACGAACAGTTCCATGGATGCACGGCTGCACTTTAGCCATGGATTAAGATTTCAAAATGGATAACAGTGTGTTCTGTTCCTAGTTCTCACTTTGAAGTGCTTCTTGAAAGATTTTAGTACAAGAATTTGTTGTCTGAAAAACAAAACAGTTGCTAAGGGCCATTTTGCCCTGTTTTGTTTTTAATATTGAAGATTTAGCCTCATTTTGAATTCTCAGAGATCAAATGAAGTACTTGGTTTGTTTTGGACATTTACATGACTATAGCTTAAAGACTGACAAAGCAAAGTATGTATCTTATTTTGAAAGCAAATATGGGATAAGATTCCAATAGTTTGCAAAGGTTGACTTGGCTTTTATGCTTTCATAAGAGACTTGTGATAATTCTTGTATGTTCAGCTAGCTCTGCCTTAAAGGGGTCTGTGTTCTAGGAAACAGTGGGCTGCTAAGAAAACTGTCTTTACTAAAGTGTAACAGATTGAGCTTCTGAAGATAGTTATTTGGGAAGATGTAGCTGCAGGGATGTGTGTGGAGAAGCCATCAGAAATCAAGCCTGTGTTGTTGCAGACGTACCAGTACACAAAGGTTTGAAGCATAGTAACTTAATTTGATACCACGAGTGCTAGAGGTAGTGGATTTCACATCTATAGCAAGTCTTGTCTGTCATGAGTTGGAAAATCAGTTCAGTGTTTTTCCTTAAACTGGTATGAAGTTCAACACTAGATAAGTCTATAGGGAATTTAATGTCAGATGTCACTGGAAATTGGCAGTTAGGGAAGTTGAGGGAGGTGTTGGTAACTTCCCCTTTTCCAACATATTTTTAATAAAACGTATCCATGTAATAGAATTTTCATAGTTACCTATGAAATTATCTTGTTACCTGTAAAAGAATGCCAAAAGCAAAATGGCTGTCCTTTCTCCTCCTGCTCTCCCATGTCCTGAATTTGAAGATAAGCTGTTGCTTACAACACAGGAAACTTAGAGATGTGTAAAATTCCTTCCTTGCTATCAAACATAAGCTTTCTGTAGTGTGGATCTTCATGCAGGCCTTTAATAAGAAATAATATGCAAAGTCTATCTTGCTGTTTTGTATGGCAGTTTTTGCTTTTTGAGCAATGTCCTGTTGTTAGCATTACCCTACCATCCTTTGTGCATGCAGTATTGCTTTGTCGTGCATGTGGGAAAAGGAAATGACTGCGTTGTAGTGAAGCTGTACTTGTTCGGAAGGTGCAGTATATTGGGGAGTGGTACAATAGTTATATTGCTTTTTTTCCTGCTTTCACACAGTTTCCTTTCCCTACTGGTGTAGGTGAGAGGGTAAGAGGGTTGTTTTATAATTAGTGTTTTCAAAGGGAGATGGGAAAATTAGAAGATTCAGGAAGTCATTCTCTGGAGAGGGTAAGGAATTTGGGATGAACAATTCATGTCCGCTGCCTTTATTGAGTATTTGTGGCATTATCAAAGAGTATCTTGCATGTTTGGAGCTGCCATTTTAAAATAAATCCAAATTTTGCATACCAATTTATGCTTTAAAAAACACTTTTCTTAATGGATGATCTAATTTTTTTTTTTTTGTGTGTTATCAGATACATAGAAGTAAAAACAAATGGAAGTTCTTCTTAAAAGATGGAGTGATGTCCTTTGATGGTAGAGACTATGTTTTTGCAAAAGCTGTTGGAGATGCAGAGTGGTGAAATCTCACTGTTGTACGTATGTTAAGACTGGCATTGTTCTTTCACAAACCATCTGTGAAACAACTAAACTTTCTATATTTTGCCATAAAGACCCGTACAATTAGCTAAAATATGTAAAATCTTTGTTAAAACATGCAAATTAAAATAGTACTGTTAACTACAATCTTTTCTCTTCTGATTATTTCATTACTTTTCCAGCCAAAAAGCATTGTTGAATTGAATAGCTTTATAGACTAGAATGTTGTGTTTGTTAGTAATTCAAGAAAACCATAGAATACTAAGTGACTGTATGTAAGTAAATTGTGGTTTAATTTTCTTATTTTTTTTCTTAAATAAGAGCTGGAGTATAACCTGAAATGTAAAACTACACAGTTGTGAGAGATACTTGTGTTCAGAGTCTGAGATTTAACATCTGTGCAAGTATGAAACTTGTGGCTGTTTCAGCTGAGTATTTTTCTCCTCTTTCTTTCTTCTCCCTTGCTTTTTTTCTTGTTGCTGTTAATTTGTGGTGGCCTTTTTTGGCTTCAGCATACAGGCAGGTATTTTATATGCAAGTTGGGAAACATGGGTGGAAGACCCTTGAGCTCAATATATGAAAACTATTATTGCTTATTCTATACCTTCTCTGTCTGCTGGGATGCAATGAATAGTGTGGGTTGTTTTTTTAACATTTGAATGTGATTTTCACTGTCAACGTGAAGTCATTTAACTTTGGTTCTGCATGTATCAACTACATTCTATGACTACAGACCAGTAGGCTGTGAATGATGCAAATTGTGCATAATAAAAAAAGTCATCTCGTATAGTCTTCTAGCAGTGAGGGTTTTTCTGTCTTTAGAGAAATGTGTAGAAGTCATGCATGTGACAATAGCTCACCCTGCCATGGGCATTGCATTCCCAGCAGTACTAAACATTAGCTTCCTGTTTATTCCTCTAAAAATATAAAGCTCTGTGCCCTTAGGTCCAGGCCCTATGTCTTCATAGCTGTAGCTTTCTCCTAGCTAACTCATCTTTCTTGTAGGGCAGCGCTAGAAGTTAAATGCCAGGCTGACTCAGAATGGGATCAGTCTGTTAGAAGAGCAGTGGCAGCATCGCTCACTAGGTCTGGCAACCCTCTGTTCTGGCTGCATCTGCTGAAGGAAGGCAGTAATGAGACAATGGAACAGGCTGCCCAAGGAGGCTGTGGATGCCCCATCCCTGGAGGCATTCAAGGCCAGGCTGGATGTGGCTCTGGGCAGCCTGGTCTGCTGGTTGGCGACCCTGCACACAGCAAGGAGTTGAAGCTAGATGATCATTGTGGTCCTTTTCAACCCAGACCATTCTGTGATTCTGGTTTTCTCAACTCTCTGGGGGGATGCTGTAGCCTTGAGAAGGAAACTTAATGAGAAAGTTGGAGAGAAGGAATATGGGGAAGAAATAAGAAAACCAAACCTTGTTCATAATGATATGAAGCATTGTGCAAATGACAGAGATGTCTCTTTCCTACCCCTTCTTAGTTTAAAGCCGTTCTAATCGTATCACTATACTCCCTGACAAAGAGCCCCTCTCCAGCTTTCCTGTAGGCCTCCTTCTGGTATGGAAAGTTTGGAGAAAAAAAAAAAAAAAAAAAAGTCTCCCAGGAACCTTTTCTTCTGCAGGCTAAGCAAGCCTGGAAGCAGGAAGCCCAGAAAAGATGAATTTACAGGGCATGACTGGATGTACCATTCGCTCTCTGAGTGATTCTACTGAGAACAGAGCCTCTTTTTGCTAGTCACTGTAAAATTAAGTGGCTAAAGAGCACCTGATTAGCAGGTAGTTTTAAAGATGAACTGCTGCATCTTTCTGGTTACAGTGTTAAAGGCTGCTTCTAAATGAAGGTGAGGAGTCAGTGCTATGAGCACCTTTGTGATACCTCATCTCACCTCTCCTTGTTTCTTTTCAGAGTTTGTTCATCTGTGCTTGGGTGCTGAGATATGATATAAAAGTACTGGAGTAGGAAATGATTTTTCTTTTTTCTCTTGTAAGCTGTCCTAATTCATAATTATTATTTGCTTTCTAACTACCAGTCTGATCTGCCTTTGTATTTTGTTCTTGAAACATTTCTCATGCTTTAATGTTCTGTGAGATGTTGTTTTTTTTTCTCCAGCTTGCTGCAAACTCTATGTAGTCCATGTGTGTGCATTATAGAAACTTTTCATCTGGAATACAAGGTATATTTTTAATACTGCTGTCTCTCCAAACTGCTTGTAAGACTTATGGGTTGGTGATGTTTTTCATTCTGTTTTTTGACCCTTTGACACATTTGAGAAAATGGCTGCTAAATGCATATTTTAGCAGCAGATCTTTTGGCTCCTACAAAACTGCTGAGATGTTCCTTGGGGGTGCCTGTGATGATTTTCCCAGTCCAGAGCTGTGGGCTGTGTATGTGGGTGTCTTGTACTCCTACACTAGGGATGACTTCCGTTTTCTTTCATTGAAGCACACAAGAATTGCCTTTATGTTTTGTTTAAAGTGTTCTTGAATGAATTCAAAGACAACTTTGAATGTGAACACTTAAAGCTAACTCAAAATATCAGAAGTTAGGGATTTTTTTAGACTGGAGAAAAATGTTCCTTATTAAAATGTAAGCTCAGTTTGCTGATTACTTTAATCTATGCCTTAAGCAGCGATCAGATCAGAGTGTTTTTGATGTTCAAATTTTGCTCTGATGCTTTTGATTTTCACTGTTTGCAGTCAAGCAAATGTGTCACTGCAGATACGACACAGTGTGTCCACAATATCAGTTGTGACCACTGAAGATGCTTCAATTAACGGCTGTCTAAAACCTTACATTACAAAAGAAAGCTTACCAGGAATAAAGACATAGATTAACATGTAACTTATATGAGAAGCTTAGTGTGAATCTAAATCACTAAACCAATAATTTACTTGTTCATTTTTGTATAGCAAAACATTTGAGTTGAGTGAGCTTTTCACCCTTATGAACGGCAATGTAAGTAAATCACTTGGTGTCTACTGGACACACAGCTTTGTCATGCCTTGTTTTTCCCCAGTTCCTTTTACTGGTAGTCCTGTTTCCTTGTCTGCTCAGCTCAGGATCTGATACCGATAAAGAGGTGTCTCATTTGGAATTCTTACTGCTTGCTAAACCACAGATCTAATAGTCTCCTCTGCTTCTCAGTCCTGCTTTGCTCCCCATGTGTGTGTCACCTGTTCCTGAGCTGTTGTACTGATTGAAAGCACGACATTAAGCGGAAGGTTAGGGAGGGTTGGAGATGTTATTTCTAACTAACACAATTATAAGTTAATGCTAAACCAGTCAGTAGCACAAAGAATCACTGTCATTAGTGTGAAGCAAATCTAATCTGCAGTGCTGTGTTTTGGCAACTACAGTCTGCCCTTTCAAGGACCTGTTAGGCTATGTTTGTCAAGGAGGAAGTACTGCTCCACTGAGGATCTGTCCTTAGGTATTTTAAGTTTTATCTACAGAATGTTATCTAATACTCTAGAACTTCAATCATGAGCCTGGATAAAATATGTTTGCTTTTCGTTCTGCGAAACAAACTGCAACCATGTAGGAGTCTTAAGCTACAACGTTGGTTTGGTGACTGAACACTCTGCTCTTCACATGAGAGATGGTGAATCCAACCAACCTGTCAAAAGTAACTGGTGAAAAGGCTTGATCTGCAGGCCCTGGCTATTGTATACCTTTCTGTCCACAAGACTATGAGCTTTTCTGGAGGCCAATAACTAAGTCCCTTTGTTATGCTGCAGTAACAAAGGAACGCTCAATTGTTACTTAAATTGTGAATGCAGCCACAAATCTGGATCTCATTAGCCTCAGAAAATGTGTGGTGAAAAAAATGATAATTTCCAGTGGGAGAACATGGTTGCTGCAAAGTAACTACTCTGCTCTGTCTGCTGGGAGTGAGGTTGGAATGTGAGGGCTGAGGAGTCACCAGGGCATCCTTAGTGCCATTGGAGACAAGGCAGATGTGAATAGGACACTATATTGTCCTTGGTGAGGAAATAAGGCAGCGCTCGTCCTGCCGCTGAGCTTAAAGGGGCTCTAAACAGATTAGGTGGCCAGTGTGGGTGTATTTGATACATAAAATACACTCCTGTGTAGAGCAGATGGCATTCTGCTGCTATTACATTTCTTTCCATTTCTGGATCATATGTGGCTGCATGTGGGTGAACTTTCTAGGCTCCAAGTGAGCTCTAATGTAAACTGTGACTTTGCTAGCAACAAAGATTCAACAGGTCCAGTTGTCTTGGTGCACACTATTCTTAACTAGGTGGCTGTGTAATTGGATGCTTTTGTTGATGAAATACAGGAGGCATCTACTCTAGTGCTTCCTTCTTTAACCTCCCTCCCTCTCCCCCCCCAACATGACAGCAAAGCTGGCGGGAGTGGAGAAGAAAGTGGGTGGCAGACAGGCACTGCTTCAGGGAAGCAGATTTGCAGTCACTACAGTACCCATTAACCTGAAGAGCACCTTGACTACTCCTGGATTCCCTTGATTCTCCCTGAAAAAGTATTTCACCTAATTCACCTACTAATCTCATCCTGTGCCTATTGTTGCTAGAGAAGAAAAGGGAAAACATCGCTTTGAACTTCAGTAATGCTGCGTGAGAAGTATTGACTCATAACTTTATTTACTATGATATGTTCAAGATATGAAACAATCCCTGCTTGGTGCAGCTGGCACCATAGAGCACAGCACCTACTGGCAGTCTGGCTGGCTTTTCTTTGTAGAGCATCTTGTTTTGCACAGCTTCTCTGATGCTGACAAAAGCAGCAATGCCTGTGAGGCTTTACTGGGGCCTGGGGCTGAGCTGCCATTTTTGCAGTTGGAGGTGTAAGCGGAGAAGTAGTTCATTCGACAGAGCTCTGCTCGGCTCTTACAGCAACCTAGCTTGCTCATCAGCAGGAAGAAATCTCTTTGGAATGCTTTAGTGAAAATTGCATACAGAAATGGGTTTGCGCAGGAATTGACTGGGTAAAATAAAACCAGCAG